GAGTGATGAGTGGCGAGATGCATACGCGTCTTCTTTTTAGGTGAATTTCGGATTGTTCTCTCTGCGGGGATGCATTGCATTGCTTTGCTTTKCTTTGGGCGTGAAATGCGGACGAGGCGACAAGCAGAGCCGTGTGGAGGCGGCGCAGTCGAAGAGCCCTCCCTCCGCATCCATGCCGAGCCGTTGTCCGTCACAGAGTGGCGCCTCACAAGCGAGATCGGCAGTGGTGACTACCGGCACGCACCACCAGCCAGCCACACTCAGCTCAGTCAATCCATCTTCACTACCACCACCACAGCCCTGCAATATACCCCACCGGAGCGTCCGTTGATCCTTCGTCTCCAGTCGTCGCCCAACATGCCGTCGGTATTCAAGAGCCTGCGCAAGTCGCTCTCCCGATCCAACGACTCCAAGCAATCCACCGAGGCAAGGCGACGCACTCGCACAAGCTCCATCGCCGACCCAAACGTTCGTCCCCACGATTCCATCGACACCAACGCCTCCTGGGACAGCGCACTCACCTCGCCACCTTCCTCCAACACTGAGCCGAGCTCCAACGGCTCCGCCATCACCATCCCCACCTCGCCCAACGACCCCACCTACGGCCTCGTCTCCCATGCAAGCATCGACAGCAGCCTCTCGCAAGATGGACCCGAGCCTCGCTCGAGGTCAAACAGGCGCAGCGTATTCTCGCTCGACCTTGCAAAACAGGCGGTGGATCAGATCGTCTCCAGGGCGCAGATCCACGTCGAGTCCATCAAAGTCGGCGACCTCACCCCGGAAGGCTTCCACCTCAGCATGGTCGTCCGCGTCGGCAAGACCGGTCCCACAAAGGCAAAGATCACCTTCCCGGACGGCCTCGACCTCTACCTCGATCCCGCCCACACACGCCCCATCGCCAACATCAGCCTCTCCCCCATCAAGATCAAAAACTCAACAAGGACAAACGGCCTCGTCGTAGACGGTCGTCTCAACACACACAGCAATCCGAACCAATCTGCCTCCTCTCAGCGCGGCCTCGACAGCCTCTTCCGCAAGCTCATCACCTCAAAGGGCGCCGTACTCCTCAGAATCGGCTCGCCCAACGCAGAGATCAAGGCGTACGGCATGTCCTTCAAGCGAATCCTCTTGGACAAGGAAATCAGCCTCGACGGCCTCGACAGCCTCGGAGGCGCCCTCTCCTTCCTCTCAGCATCCGTCCCTCCCTCCTCGACCCCTTCCACCCCGCAGCGCAGCTCCATCAAGAACTTCACAATCACTGGCGGAGACCAAAAGTCCGGCATCTCCTTCCGCGCACAGGTCGAGCTCCCAAACCCCGCAGAAATCACAGCCAGACTCGGCGACATCCGCCTTCGTCTCGAGACCGACATCGACGAGCTCAAGTCAAGCTCGGCAGATCACAATGCCGCCATCGGCCACGTTGTCTTGCCCGACCTCACGCTCAAACCCGGCACAAACATCGTCTCCCTCCACGGCAACGTTCTCGTCGCACCGCAAGGTGACCACGGTCGCCTCGCCGGCGTCACCCTCATCCGTTATCTGCTCGAAAACAGATCCGTCCACGTCAACGTCGTCGGTTCCCGAGCTTCGTCCAGAGTTCCCTGGGTGGCGGCCATCTTCGCATCGGTCCGTATCTCGGCGCTCCTGCCTGCACTCGGCATCAGCTCCCGGCTCCTCGACGGCGCTTCTCTCATCCCGCCCGACGAGGCGGTCCTCTCGCCCCAGCCCCAGCTCTACGCTCGAGCCACGCTCCGCAATCAGCTTGGCCCCCCGCTGCACATCCACTCTCTCTGGGTCGAAGCCTTCCAAGACGTCGAGCCAGACGCAGACCACGGCGCACCAGCTGCAGCTGCTACTCGCCTGGGCGACATCCGCACCCCCGCCGATTCGCCTGTCCTCACGCTCGCATCCGACGCTCCAGTCCACGCCAGCTTGCCCTTCAGCCTGTCTGCCGGAGGCTCTTCCTACGTTCGCATCCTTCAAATCGAGGCAAAGAGAAAGGGCATCGAGCTCAACGAAAACCTCGTCGCAGCTCTCGAGATGATGCCAGACCGTGACGGCCAGGACAACCTTGCATCGGCGGTGTCGAAAGCTCGCAAAGGCGCCAGGTCGACTTCAGACGAGCCTTTGGACCTGCCTAACCTAGTCGCCCGCGCTCTGTCGTCGTTGAAAGTATCAGCGCACGTCGTCGCACAGGTTTCCATCGGCGACTATCGCATCCCCGGCGAAATCAACTTCGTCCAGCGCCAGCTGCCCATTGCCATCACCGGCAAGACGGCGCGCAACATCCTCCCCACCATCGGCGCGCCTCTTGTCGATGCCCTGATCGACCAAGCCAGCGTCTCGATTTCCAAGCTCAAGATCCTCGACATGGACGAAAAGGGGCTCAACGTTGAAGCAGAAATCGGCCTCGTCGACTTCGGCCCTCTCGATGTAGACATCCACTTTGACCAGGGCCTCAACATCACCTCGGCCGAATCCTCCGCCTCATCCGCCGAAGAGCCCGTCATCGGACGCATCGTTTTCGCGGAGGCTCTTCGTGGTGTTGCGGGCAGCGAGGAGCTGCTCAAGACCCGCCTCCGCATCCTGCCGGCTACCGGTCCTAAGAGCATGGCCACCTTTGCTACGTTCGTGTCCGAGATAATTCAGAAGGAGGCCTTCCCCATTCAGATCTCATCAGACGCGTGTCGCGTCGTAGCCGGAGGCGCAACTTTCCCCGCCGTGCTTTCGAAGTCCGTCGTCCTCCCCGGCCTTGGCGGCTTGAAGGGATTGACCCTAGAGGGCCTTGACATCTTTGACGAAGTTGCCGCACCTACCGGTCCAGGTCGTGGCCGCGCACTGAGCTCGGCGTCTGCCTCGAGCGGCAGTTCAGGTCACGTTAACAACAAGGAAAAGGCTTTCAAGGTCAGAACCCGCATCCGGATTCCCCACAACGGCCTCCTGGCCGTCGCACTATCCAAGATCGAGGCCGGCATCGAGTTCGAAGGCATCCAGATCGGCATCGTCTCTGCGGAAGACATCGTCTTCACGCTTACGGAGGCAGATGTCCGATTCGAAGCGAACGGCTTCATCTTTTTAGGAAGCGAATCATTCAAGGACAACCAGTCGCTGGCCGAGTACAAGCACAATGCGCTGCAAGCGTTCGGCCGACTCGCAGCTGCACTCCTTGGTGGCATGCCTGTAGAACTCACGATCAGAGGCTATCGAGCCTTTGCCATGGGAGATGTGCAAATTCTGCCCGCCGGTCGTACCCAGGTGCCGCCTCACCTCCGCAGCAAGTCTTCCTCGACGTCGATCCAGCGCAGGGAGTCTGTCAAACTCGTCCGCAATGCATCGCTCAGCAACTCCAACAGCTCCACCTTCTCTCAAAAGCAAGTGCCTTGGCTTGATCAGGCATTCCAGAAGATCTCAATCTCCACAGTGGTGCATCAGGACTTTCAACCAGTTATCCGGGATATGCGCATCAGCCGTATTTCTGCCAGATTCCTCCGCGAAGGTACTATGGACGCCGACATCGATGCCATCACCTTCCAGATCGAGCTGCCACTTGATGTCCGCTTCGAAGTCCTCGCTGTCGAAGCAGACATCGAGCTTCACTGCGAAGGAGTCGGACGTGTTGGCACGGGCCGAATCGACCGCACCGACGTTGTTTCTTGCACTCCCGTAGAGCCAAGCCGAGGAGACAGCGATGTCGACGCGAGCGTAAAAACCTGTTGCGAGGTGCGCCTTGCTTCTGGATCGCTCAAGTTGGTGACAGATTCGGGCGACGGGCTCGCCCAGCTCATTGCACACATTGCCGACAGCGAAGAGACCGACCGGATCAGCATCCGCGGTCGTGCCAGGGCACGTGTCGGCGTCGCGCTGGGTGACATCTCGGTAGATGTGGATCTGGGAAGGCAACCTCACATTCTTGCAATCGACGGGCTGCGAGGACTGCGATCGAGCCCGGTGCAGTACACCAATCTTCAGGTGGTCGAGGCATCTCGCGAATACCTCAAGATTGTCTTTTCGCTTTATCTCAACAACCCATCCAAGACGCTCCAGGTGGCGCTGCCCGATACGGATCTGACGATGGCAGCTTTCTACCGCGGTGCCTACGTGGGGAGGGCGCACATTCCAAAAGGCTTCAGCATGGAGAGCGGGCCCGTCGCAGTGCACGACATCCATTTCCGCTACTGCCCTGCGCCCGAGATGGAGAAGGCCGTCCGAGACATTCCCGCCAATTTCCTTTCTGGACGCACCACGACGTTGGAGATCCGGGGAGACGATGAGTCGAGCGAGATCGCTTTGCTCATCCCGGCGCTCAAGAACATCCGGCTGACGTTCGAGCTCAGGCCAATGATGGACCGCACGCTGATCGACAGCATCTCGATCACGCTGGGAGTGACTGCGCTGACATCAGCTTCCGTTGACGCCGAGTTTGTGGTCAACAATCCACTTGGCGTGCCGTTTGACCTGTGCACCATGTCCTTCATGGCGACTTACAAGGGCAAGCCGTTCGGCAGCTGCACGGTGTCTTACGAGCGCGACCATCCACTTCGTGTCCCTGCCGGTAGCGTCAAGCAGCCGGGCCAGCAGCAGAGCTCGCCTGTCACCGTGGCTCTGGCGCAGCCACTGGAAGACATGGTGGGCGCATTCCTGAAGAGCAAGGGAGAGCTGCTGCTCGATATCGAAGTCAACGCGCGAGTCGAGATTCAGGGCTTCAAGATCCCCAACTTCAACTACCGTCAGCCACAGCTGCCGCTCACCATCAAGGGGCTCGAAGGCCTCTCCAAGTGGATGAGGTTCCTGCCCTGATCGCCAACTCAACGCGACCGCACTCGTGTTTGGGACGCATTGAGAAAGCACCGCCACGATTGGAAGTCAATGTGAAACTCATCGAAATGGGACCGCACCATGCACCAGGATGGAATGCAGAAACGAAGGCGTGAATTGTGGGATGCAGACTGAGTTGATGGCTGTGTTTGCGAAATTGAGAGAGGACATGAATGGTTGAAGGATCAGCGCTTCTTGCTTGGTGGAGGCGGCAGCAGCGGTGCACCGCCGAAGCCTGCGCCAAAGGTGTTGGAGGAGGAGCTGGATGAGGATGTGATCTTCCTTCCGCCTCCTCCGGGGATTTTGATCGCGAAGGTCTCGCCCTCTTTAAGGCTGAAGTCCTTCTTTGGGCCTGAGGGCAGGTGTGGTGAGGGTCCCTCGTCGATAAGTGCGCCATCGTCGGTCTCGGGGTTGGTGCCGCGGCTTGCGGCTGCTTTTTGGCGTCTGTGACACGGCGGGGGACGAGTATGAATCAGCTGCGAGAACGCGGGAGTTGGGAGAGCCAGGAGGTTCTTTGACTTACTTTGTCCAGTCCTGGAGCGCCACATTGAAATCAAAGCTATCGCTGCGGTCTTGGAACTATCAGTGCAAAGAACAGATGGAAGTATTAGACAGAGAGGTATCAGGTGGCACTTTGTTGGAAGGTTGGCGACTTACACCCATTCCGATGTACGCCTTCTTCTTCGCGCCGTCTGGACCTTGCGACTCGACCCTGAGGACAAAGTACCTGCTCGAGTCGAGAACAGGTTCGACGGAGGTGCCCTTCACATCGTAGGGGCATTCGGCGAACAGTTCACCGGTATCGCCGTCTTCGAGACGAATGGAGCAGGTGGGTGAGATGGACGACTCCATGATGCGCAATCGGCCTTTCCAGAGGAACGCCTCCATGTCGCCCCACTCGCCCGCTTTGTAGCCTGCCGTGGACGAGCGTGGCGGCACGCGGTACACGAAGCACTCGCGTGCGACGAACAGCACCGTCTCATACCCCGACATCGTTCAAATTCCCTGCCAGCCTGATTAGCCGTTGAAGTGCGAGTCTCGGTCGCAAGATCGCGTCGTACGAGACAGGTCGGACAGCCTTCAGAGATCCAGGTCGCTATATCAATTGTCGACAAAGCTGGCTTGAAAAGCGACCAAAGAGCTCGACTCCTGAGTGGGCGCGAGTGAGCGGTGTTGCGAGGTGTGTGAGAGATGGAGGTGGGATTGGTTGTTGTGATTTTCAGCGACGTGGAACGTGCACTTTTTGGCGGCGGCAGGCGGGCGCGAGCGACACGCCCCCGCACCGCCCCAAGGTGGAGGAGAGAGCGAGGCAGCGTGACGCACTCGCCCCCTCAACCTCATCTCGGCATTCGACACAGCATAACGCTGTGCGCTTCACTGCCAAGCCAGCTCGTCACCGCAGAAGCGACAAAGTCCAGCGCACCAAAGAGAAAGGCCAGAGCCGAGCAGACGATGCGATGTCCATCTCATTCCTTCCCGCCGTCTGTCCGAATCAACAACCACACCAACAGCGCCGGCACATTCAATAACAAGATTTCGGAACTGGATATCTACATTTGTTTGGCAACGGCTCGCTCCTACAGACGCGAGATGATCATCTTGACACCCACCAGGCCGGCAGCCACGTCGCCCGAGCTGCTCGTGACGAGCTGGAGATGCACATTGAGCGCCGCCTGCTTGTTCCTCGCCTCGATGGCCGCCACGATCTGCAGCAGGCCCTGCACCGTCTTGGCATCAATCGTGCCGCAGTTGAGGTGGTCGAGCAGCAGGTTGATGCGGCGCTCGGTATCGTCCACCATCCTCTTCTGTGCCGGCGGCGCCGTCGCCTTGAGACGCGCCACCTCGCGCTGCAGCGCGTGCTGGATCGGACGCTGGTTCTCGGGGATGTGCGATCGGTCGCCCGGAGGGTACTTCATCGTCGGAGCATTGCGCGCTCCAGGCGTGCCAGTTCGTGCCGGCGCACCCGCGCCTCCACCGGGAGTCGCCGAACGCTGCGGCACACCCGGGGGACCCGCAATACCGGGCGCACCAGGCAGACCCTGGCCGGGCGGACGCAGCGCTGCCGCGCCAGGAGGGCCCTGCTGCTGCTGCTGCTGCTGCTGGACCCCGTTGCCGTAAGGGCCTCCAGAGGGCGGTCGGGCGTAAGGTCCAGCCGAAGGAGCAGCTTGACCGGTAGGTCCCTGCTGAGGCTGGCCCGGGGCGGGCGCGCCGTACGGCTGCTGCCCCGGTCGAGGCTGCATCTGCATGGGACCCGTTGGCGGAGGTCGAACGCCAGGGGGTCCGGCTCGCTGCTGCGCAAGCCCAGGTCCCGAAGGCGGTCCTTGCGGCGGCGGGCTGATCATGCCGCGCGACGGTGTGGCTCCACGCGGAGGACCCTGAGGCGGCGCACCTGGACCCGCGCCGCCGTACGGCGATGGTGCCTGCGCCGGTGCATTGGGGAACGGCGACGTGATGGCCGACGTCGACTTGTGCTGCGACATGGCGCTGGGCGTGCGCTTGGGCGCCGACAGTCCCTCGGGCACGTCGTTCCAGCCGGACTGGTCGCGCTTGAGAGGGGGCGGTGGCGGCAGGCTCTGCTGCTGCTGCGGCTGTCCGTAAGACGACGCACCAAACGTGGGCGGGGCGGGGATCATGGGCTGGGCGGGCTGGTACGCGCTCTGGTAAGCCTGGCCATAACCTCCGTACGTGTTCGATTGTGCAGGCTCGGACTGGATCACGTTGGGCACGGGCGCAGGAACGGCAGGCGCGTAGCGCGACTGCGTGGCAGGCTGAGCGGCGACGGGAGCCGGAGCTGCGGCTGCGTAGGGGTCCTGGTACGAGGGCACTGCAGGGACCGATGGCACCGACGGAACGGAAGGAGCAGGCGCGCTGGTCTGGCCGTACGGGTTGTAGGGAGTGTAGCCGTTCGCCGAGGGGGCAGCGGCGTAGGCGGAGCTGGACGAAGCGGCAGCTGCAACATTGTCGGTGGCTTCGGCCGCAACGGCCTCTGCCTTGGGACGCGCGCTCTCCGCCTTGAGCAGGCGCTCCTTGAGCGCAGTGGCGGTGAGACCGGTGGCGGCGCCCTGGTCAACGGGGCCCTGGGGACGGTAGTCGGCGGGCGTCTGGCCAGCGAACCTGAGCGCAGGGGTGATGAGACCCTGGTCGGCCAGGAGCTCGACGTACTCGTGGATGCGGTCGTAGAGCGGCGCGAGCTTGTACAGCCTGGCGCCAGTCTCTGCGACGAGCGAGTCCTGCGTGGGCTGCTGCAGATCGACATCGACGTAGCCGACGGCGCTCTGGAAGACGGTGATCTTCTCCATGAATGTCTGGAGCGCCTCGGCGCGGGCAGAGTAGAGGGTGCCATCGTGCGATGCATCGGCGCCGTCCTTGGAGTTGGTGCGGAGCGCAAGCTCCTCCTCCTTCATCTCGTCGATCCACATGCCTGCAACCTTCTCGAGCTTGCCAGCGGCGAGGTAGCAGAGCACGGCGTTCTTGCGGTGCTCCTTGGCCTGGGCAGCGTCCGAGTTGCGTGCGAGCGTATACTGGAACTCGAGGCGCTGGCCGAGCTGTTCGGTGAGGTTGCTGAACTCGTCCTGCTTGGCAAAGGTGCAGAGCACGACAAAGATCTCCTGCCACTCGCCCAGGTCGGCGTTCTGCACGACGTCGGTGAGATCGTCCGAGACGATGCTCTGGAAGAGGCGGAGGTAGGGGAGCTGAGCGGTGCGCTTCTCAAAGTAGGCCTTCTGCGCTTTTGCGAGGAGCTGCTCTCCGCCGCGGACGGCGAGGAGAAAAGCGTCTGCGAAGCGGTCGGAGTTGATGCAGAGGGAGACGGCGCTCTCAAAGTCGCCGAGGACGAGGGCGCGCGTGATAAGCTTGTCGGCTTCGGATTCCTCGGAGGGGTAGATCTTGAAGGTGGAGGAGCGGATGTTTTCGCTTGCGACGGACGAGGGTCCGGGCGAGCCAGCGGTTGCGGCGGCGGACGAGTGGAAGGGAGCCTGGGACTCGGAGAGCAGGTGGTCGGGCAGAGCGGATCGGAGCGCAGGTGGCTGGCCGCTGGAAAGCTGGTTGAAGAAGTCGGAGCCGTCGTTGGCCGATGCAGTTGCGTCGTCGCCAAAGAGGCTGGGCTCGTTGGCGTCCTTGGCGTCGGTCGACGGAGCAGGGTCGGCGGTCTCCTCGGACACAGCTGGGGTCTCGGCAGCGACCTCGGCGGCAGTCTCGACGGGAGCGTCCTTTGCAGCCGAAGGATCATCGATGCTCTTCGCGGAGACGGCGGCGGGCTCCTCCGGGGCGGTGGTGCCGTTGGTCTTGAAAGCGGCGATGGACTGGGAGACCTTGTTGGCGACGTCTTCCTTGGAGAAGCCGAGGAGGGCGACGAGTTCGTCGCGCGAGTCTGCGCGGAACAGGGTTTGGAGAGCCTTCCAGTTTGCAATGTCGTCGGGTCTTGTGGAGGGGTCCTGGCTGCGCTCTGCACAGAACTCGGCGAGGCTCTGACCGTCGAGTGCAGACTGGAGTTTTGTGGCGCGTTCGACGATGGAAGGCTCGGAGACGAGGTGGCGGAGGTGGACGGTGGGGGTGAAGGGCTTGCTGGAGGGGCCGCCGGTGGAGACGAGCTGACCGCCGAAGCCAAAGACGGCGGAGACGGGACGGCGAAGCCACTTGGGCGGCTGCTTGAGCGAGAGGCCCTTGGAAGGCGCGTCTGCGGTGGTGGCCTGGTTGAAAAAGTCGGAGCCGTCGGAGAGCTGGGGTGCGGCCGCTGCGGCTGCGGCGTCGGTGTCGGGTGCGTTGGTGCTCTGAAGCGAGTGTACGCCGATCTTGCCGTCGAAGCTGGCGGTTGCGAGCATGGCGGGGTTGCGAGGCGACCACTGTACCTCGAAGGACCAGTTTGAGCTGGAGGGGAGTTCGCCGACGATCTCGCACGTCTGCGGGTTCCAGCAGATGGAGCGGTTGTCCTTGCCGCACGAGAGGAGGAGGTCGGCGTCCTGTTTGCACCAGGAGAGGGAGAGGACGCCCTTGTCGTGACCGGTCATGATCTTTTCGGGGGCGCGCGAGTTTCTGAGATCCCAGAGCATGATGACGGGGCTGGAGTCGTCTTCGCTGGCGGTGACGAGGCGGGTGGGAGTGTCGGGATGCCAGGCGACGGCGCTCATGCCGCGACGGCCACCGGCAGCGAGGGCACCGCCGGCATTGAAGCCGGAGCCGAGAGCGCCGCCTGCGGTGCCTGCGCCACCGCCGTACTGGAGAGCGACGACTTCGCGCTTTCCCTTGAGGTCCCATACGACGGTGTATCCGGAGCTGGAGGAGGTTGCGAGAACGTGGGGCACCTGGCAGTTCCATGCGAGCGAGGTGATTTCGTCGAGCTTCTGGGAGCGAGCGCCGGGGGAGTAGGGTTTTGCGGGCGAGTTGAGGTCCCAGATAAAGATTTCGCCTGCGACGGCGCCGCTGGAGAGGAGGTTTGGCTGGAGCGGGTTGAAGTCGAGGCCGCGGACGGGACCGGTATGTGTTGTGTTTTTGATGAGCTGTGCGTCTGCCTCGGAAGCGCCTGCGATGACCTTTTGTGCGTCCCAGATGCCGAGCTCGCCGTTCTCGAGACCGGCGGCGAGAAGGCCCTTGGGGCGGGTGGAGTTGGCATAGCCCCAAGCGAGGCGGTTGAAGCGAGCGCTTGTGGAGATGGAAGCGATTGGCTTTGGGTCTGCCGAGGCGTTGCTGGCAGAGTCGTGGGAGGAGGCGGCGTAGTCGGGCTGCCAGAGCTCGAGGAGGCTCTCGTTGCTGAAGGACTCATCGAGTGCGCCTGCGACGGTGCCGGTTGCGATCAGGGGAGCATCGGACTCGTAGGTGGCAGGCGACCAGGCGAAGGTGGCGGTGCGGTTGATATAGGCCTTCATGACGATGGAGGGGCTGATGATAGGGCCGTGGGAGGCCGGGCCTTGCAAGTACGCCGCAGTGAAGGAAGGAAGGAAAAAGTAGATGACAAGAAAGAGAGACGGCGAGGGAGAAAGAAAGAAAGAAAGGCAAGATGGTGGAGACAGGAGAGTGGGGAGGAAAGCGAAGAACGGACTGCTTGCTTGCTTGGTGGTCGCGGCGGAGACACATCAGTCCAACCCGACGAGTCGAATCCGCCACGTCGTGTTTCTGCACCGCACTGCGCCGCACTGCGCCGCACTGCTCTCCCGGCCGGCGCGGAGCGACAAGGCGAGCCAAGCAGGCGCGTGCGAGCGAGGTGGTCGGTGCGAGGCGAGTCGGCGCGGCGAGTCGACGGCCAGCTCATCGTGCGTCTGCCGCCGCCGCCCACCTCTGCTGCAGTGCGATCAATCAATCCCACTTCCGCCAGCCGTTGGGGCGTGCGAATTTCAGAATTTTTGAAATTGGACCTCCTTGAAAGCGCTTGACAGAACAAAGATGATGCCAATTGTTCGGCTTTGTCGATCCCACAATCGTAAATCTCGTGATCGGGACGCGTAGCCTCCAACTTACTCCACTTGCCAAGCAACACCTCCTCCCACTCCATCTTTCTTCCACCCCATCCGCATCTCCTTCGCAATCATGTCGGCCACAACCCCTGCACAGAAGCCAGAGACGCAGTCTACACAACCCAACGACGACGCCAAGTCCGCACTCCCTTCGCTTGGTGCTCTCGACGAGGACGACGAGTTTGAAGAGTTTGACGAACAGGGTACGCATGCTTCCATCCCCACATCCCAAAGCAAAGCTTCCACCACTGACCTTATCGTCATCTTCACTGCTACTAGATTGGAACGATGCAGAGACCGATCTTTCACATCTCACCGCTGGCGCATCCAACGCTCCGGGCGCAGGCGTCGGTCTCACCATGGGCGCCGCTTCCACCACCACCGGAGACCACCTCTGGCAAGACTCGTGGGACGACGATACCGTAGAAGACGACTTTAGCAAGGCTTTGAGGTGAGCCACCAATCGCATCCGCCTTGGACACAAAGACCGCAATATCTCGCGCTTTACTGACTCGGCATCCTTCTTGCGTATGATGACAGGGCGGAACTTGACAAGCAGAACAACGCATCAGCCATGTCGACCTAATCCTTCTCTCTTGTAGCAACGCAATCTCATCTGTCTTGGGCACCATCTCGCGCCGATTGCATCAACGTGTCGACGTGCCTACATGAACAACACCATCGACGACACCAGCTCCGCGTTGGCCAGCGCTGCGACGCACTCCACCGCCTGCACCAGCTCGCAGTCGTCCGGCGCCCTGGCAGTCTCCTGCACATAGTCGCCAAACACTCTCGAGCGCTTTTGCCCCACCGAGATAGGCAGAAACGTCAGCTCCAGCACAGTGCAACGCAACTGAGACGATCACTTACAAGCAGCAGTTTGATGCCCTCCTCTTGCTGTTGCGCTTCCAGCACCAGCGCAGCCTGCACCAGATCCAACGATGCATCCTGCACCGCCGACCCGCCACGCACGATGCTGTTCAGCGCGCCCAGCATCGCCTGAGCGTCGAGCATCCCCGGTGGCGGCCGAGGTTGTGTCGGCACGCGAACTTGCCCCTCGTCGGTCTCGCAGCCATCTCTTGTGCCAACAGCTTGCGCGCTGGCGCTGGACCACTCGAAGCATTGCTTGGCGTCGAGCTTGGCCGCCACATCCACGAGGCGCATCCACGTGTTGGTGCTGCAGTCGAGCAGCTGGCTCGGTCCAAACTCGGCCTTGTACTTCATCTTTTGGCAGTCGTGGATGTAGAAGCCCAGGTAGTAGTACGCCACCTCGCGCAGCACCTCCACTCGGCCCAGCCGCTTGGCAAGCGCAATCTCCTGCAGCGCAGTCACCTTGCCCAGCTGCAGTTCGCCAAAGTCGGGGTCGTAGAAGACGTAGACGCTACTCACGCACTTGGGCAGGATGTCCAATACACCAACCGCTATCAACTTGCCATCCAGTCGGTATTCCTGGTGGTAGCAGCCGTACGGCAGCTCATCCGAGATTTCGCAAGTGCTCCAGCTCTGAGATCGAACCGCCGACTCTTGAGATGCACTCAGCGGTCGACCAACCGACGGCCACGTGAGCGTGAGGCTAGAGTCGACCAAGAAACGCCGGAATCCCTTTTCGCTGCTGATGTCCCCTTCCGACTCGCCATGGATCTTGCCTTGGTATCGCCGAAACAGCTCGTACTTTTCGGCGCTGAAACTCGACAGCGCAAGCCGCACCTCGAGCCGATTCGTGATGGGGCCCGCAACACGGTCTGCCCATGCGCTCGAAGAGCCCGACGAGGAGCCTCCATCCGCATCAGAAGGGGGAACGACTTCCTGCCATCGTCTCTCGACATCCCAGTCCCTGTCACGGCTCCACTTGCCCTTCCACCTGGCTGGCTTGGGTTTGCTTCGGCGGACGTTGAAGAGCAGCTGCGTCAAGGCTCGGCGCTGGCCTTTGGTGGGGCGATACTCGTCGACTGCGAGACGGATGGGGATCTGCGCACAGCACGTCCTCAGCACGTCCGGCTTGTAGATGTAGTCGCCCGAGCGTCTCCAGCCCTGGTCGATGAGCGTCTGGTAGTGGTAGGGGGAGAGGCGATGCGCCCAGATGCCATACGACCGGCTGGATTTGGTGGAGCTGCGCGTGCCCGAGCCCGGTGCGGTGCAGTAGCCGCAGCTCGAGGCAGTGTAGCCGGTTGGAGACACGATCGACAGCTGCGATCCCGTGCGGCTGGCGGCAGGCATGGCGCGAGGTGGTTGGTGGGCCCGAGTCAAGGATCTATGCCAGGGTCCAGCTGTTGGGCTCCTTTCGGACAGGTGGAGGTGCTCGGGCCCTTTTACTGCGCCATATGCAACTTTTTTTTTCGAGCCCTTTTCTGGCGGCCAAGCGACATCATCACGACTTCACTCTGTTTCCCCCTCGACATCAGCATGGCGCCGCACGCACAGAGCTCGTATATATCGGCGGCGTTCAACCGCGCCAATCACATCGCAGACTGGGCCGATGCTCCACACAGCACCATCGCTTATGCGGCCAACCGCTCGATCGCCATTTGGGAGCGGCCCGGCCACGCCGACTCGCCCGGTGTGACTCGGCTGCTTCCGACGCCCTTCAAGAAGGCGATCACATGCCTCAAGTTTGCGAAGCTGAGTTCGCTCTCAGCGCATCCGTGTATCGTTGCCGGATCAGCCGACGGATCGATTGGCGTGTGGACTCTCGACGGCCAAGCCGAGTGGCAGCGGGTTCACACCATCAAGGCGGCACATCAAGGCTCAGTCTCGGCGTTGGGTGTAGCGCGCTCGCCATTCGCAAGCTCTGCCTCCGATGTGATCGTGTCGGGCGCTTCCGACATCCTGCTCAAGGTGTGGTCGCTGCCAAAGGATGCGTCGCAATCCGCCTCGGTGGTGCAGACGATCGATCTCAAAGGACGATTCCCACTCGATCTCTCGCTCATTCAGCTGCCCGGATCATCCGCCAGCGCAAGTGCGCCAGCCAGTCTGCTGCTCGCTCTCGCCACAACCTCAAACAGGATCGATCTCTACACCTCCTCCACGGCTCCGGAAAGCTCCGACCGTCCCGGCTTCGAGTTCAAGCTCTCGCTCGAAGGCCACGAGGACTGGGTCAAGTCCCTCGATCTCTGCAGTACTCTGACGGCAGATGCATCCCAGAACGAGCTTGACACGCTCATGCTCGCCAGCGGATCGCAAGATGGCAGCGTCCGCCTCTGGAAGATCGCCCCAAGCCTGGCCGACGATGCCGATCACCAACCCGACGCTGCTCCCACTTCCTCGCGCGCAGATCACGACTTTGAGCAGATGGCCTCCAAGATCGAGTCGGATCAGAGCACAAAAGCTGGAGAGATCTCGACGCGCGCTCATCCCTTCTCCGTCACCAGTGCGGATGGCCTCACGCAATCCTGGTCGGTGACGTTCGACGCCCTGCTCGTCGGCCACGACAACTGGGTCACGGGCGTTCGCTGGCATCCCGCCGCTTCCTCGCAGGGCCAACACGTCCATCAGCCCGCCGCACTCCTCTCGTCCTCGGCCGACAACAGTCTCATCCTCTGGACGCCCACCGGTACAAACCCAGCATCAACCACCCATGCCGCCTTCCCCGCTTTCGACGCCACCTTACTCTCCAGCGGTGGTGCACGACACGCACGTGGCCCAACCAATCATATTCTCGCCTCGTCCATCTGGATGCCCTCGGAGCGTTTCGGAGAGGTGGGCGGTGCCAGCAACCTCGGCTTCTTCGGCGCCCTCTGGATGCCTTCCTCCTTCAGCTCTTCCACCGCCGATCCACGACAGCCCGTCTCGGCCGTCGTGGCGCACGGATGGGGAGGCTCTGCGCACATCTGGACGCTGTCTCGCCCATCGGCCTCGTCTTCCCGCGTGCAGTGGCAGGTAGGCGACCCCGTGACAGGTCATTTTGCCGCTGCCAAATCCGTCGCATGGGAGCCCTGCGGCGACTATCTGCTCAGCTGTTCCGACGACCAGACCACTCGGCTCCACGCCCGTCCCCTTCAGAAGTTTGCACAGGCGCTCGATCCACGCACCGCCACCTGGCACGAGGTTGCGCGCCCGCAGTCGCACGGCTACGATCTCCATTCGGTCTCGTGGCTGGATCGCCTCAACTTTGTCTCGGCCGCCGACGAGAAGGTGCTGCGTGTCTTTGCTGCCCCGCGCGGCTTTGTTGGAACGGTAGGCAAGCATGGTCTCGACTGTGCCGTGCTCGGCTCGGAGCACGACTCACGCGCATCCTTCCGCCCCACCCACGGCGAGCAGGCATTGCTGCTCTTGTCCCTCGATCCACAAGACGGCCTGCTTCAATCGGCCAAGAGGCACGGCGATTTGGTTAAGATGGCCGTGCAGAGGTGCTGCAACCAGCAGGGCGACTCCGTCGTTGCCGTCGTCTCGTCTAGCCTCTTCGACCGCCCCTTCTCAGGTCTCAGCTTCAAGCAGATCGAGCTCTACCTCAAGTGGCTCTATGCGCAGGCTTGGAGCGTCGCCATCAAGCGAGAGCTCATGCTCGTCGACATCACTGTCCTGCTGGTGCCGGAATCCTCTTTGGATACCGTCTCGAGGCGCCTCTGCAGTCGTCACACGCAGGTGCTCATCGATTCCGAAAAAGGCCAGTTGGCCGAGGCTACGAGCAAGAGCCTCGGTGTGACTGTCACCCAGCTCCAGTCCAGTATCGACCTCCGAGAGCCTTTCGACGCAGTCGGACGCGACGATGGCAAGGGTCTTGTCTGCTACCCTGTTGTTGCGCTCGGCGGCACTTTTGATCACCTTCATGTTGGCCACAAGATTTTGCTCACCATGGCCTCGCTCCTCGCCGATCGCGAGATCATCGTCGGCGTGACGGACGATGCCATGCTCATCAAAAAGTCCAACGCCGCCTTGCTCGAGCCGATCGAAGAGCGCATTGCGACGGTCAATGCATTCATCAGTCTGGTGCGCCTGCCCTTCTCTCCGCTGGTGCAGCGCGTAGTCAAGCTCGAGGACGTGGCGGGGCCCGCGGCCACCGAGGCCGATCTGCAGGCTCTGGTGGTTACCGACGAGACGCTCTCCGGCGCCGACTTCATTGATGGCAAGCGAAAAGAAAATGCGCTGGCGTCGCTCGAGAATTGGGTGATTGGCGTGGTGGGTAGCGAAGGCGAGACCGACCTGCAGGGCGATGCCAAAGCTCTGGCCGAGAGCAAGATCGGCAGCACTGCCATCCGCAAGTGGCTGGCCGCACAGGGTCCGCGTCGTGTCCAGGCGCTCGAGACGGCAAAGCGACACCGCGTTTCGCACCAGCTTCGCCTCTGCAGCAGCGACGAAGCGGATAAGCCCGAGGGCGAGAACGAAAAGATGGCAGCTCGACCGGTGGGAGCGAGCGTGCCTCCTCTCGGACTCTCGAATCGCGCCGTATTCGAGGGCTCGACGATCCAAGACGAGCCGTCTGCGAGCGGGCAGCCGATCGGCACGGCGAAAGAGTCTCTGTCTGCGGTGCTGCAGCATCCTCCATCGGAAGAGCAGCTGTCGGTCGAGACGCTGTGGCCCGAGCTGGAGAAATTGTACGGCCATGGCTACGAGCTGCTGTGGGTGAGCGCCAACCCTGCCCACCCTATCGATGGCGGGCGCACCGCATTGGGCGGGCGGTTTGTGGCATCGTGCTGCAAGGCAACGAGCGAGGAGCATGCAGTGGTGCGCGTCCATGACCGCCACCAGAACTGGCGCGAGTGTGCCGTGCTCGACGGGCACACGCTCAGCATAACGCGCATTCAGTGGAGCCTGGACTCGCGCTACATCCTCACTTCATCGCGCGATCGCAGCTGGCGCATGTACGAACGCAAGGGCGCGCTCCAAGGCGACAGCGATGTGCGCTTCGAGCCATTCACGGGCGAACGGTCACACGCGCGCATCATCTGGGACTGCGCGTGGTCCACCGACCTGTCGCGGCCGTACGTCTTCGCCACGGCGTCGCGAGACAAGACGGTCAAGATCTTTGAGCTCGCTGCGTCCAATGCCGACGGAAAGCCGTTCTCGCTGCTGTCAACGGTCAAGTTCAGCGAGGCTGTGACGGCTGTCGCGTTTGGAGCAGGGCTGGTGCTGGCGGTGGGCAAGGAGGATGGCTCGGTGGAAATTCTGGCCAAGTCGGATGGCGAGGAGGGAGAGACGTGGCAGTCGACGCTGCAGGTGAATGACATGGCGGCGGAGCAGATCAACCAGCTGGCGTGGCGGCCACCCGTGCTGGAGGATGGCGACGATGCTGTGCTCGCCTCGGCGTCGGAAGACGGTATGGTTCGCCTGACTAGGGTTGTGGGGCTTTGACCTGTAGAATCAGACTCTGCTCATTGTGCCTATGCCAGCCGTGACCGTGATGCAGAGATGAAGCGCTGGCCAAGGTGTGAGATGAAATGAGAAGAACAGCAAGATCGTTGAGGCGGCGACGGAAAGCTAGAGTACATAGGATGGAGCTTGGATCGGATGCAGAGGAGATGGCCTTGATGCTCATCGGCCGTACCTGTTGTGTATTGGCGGAAAAGAGGTGAATGATCAGTCTTTGGAGCTTGTCTTTGGCATCGACGGACGTGGACTTACTTTTGAAGTTCCCATTCTCTGTTGTCGAGTGGGCAGACCTGTCTGGTCTTGAGCCAGCGCGAGATGCAGTGGAAGTGGAAGGCGTGCTGTTTGGTCGCGGGCTCGATTGTCAGCGTTGATTTGTGCACGAGTGAAAGGGATGGTGGGATACGTACGTTGCACTGGCCCCACGCGACGGTGCATTCCTCTGTAGTTGCTGAGCCCTGGTTTGCTTGGCATTCGATGCCTGAGTTGCGCGACAAAGTCAGGATCAGCGACTCTATAGCAGGTCAAAGAGGCACGGGAGGGTAAGGGAGGAACTTACAAAGATCCATGATGTGGTTTCTGCAAATAGCGCACTGCAATCATACAAAGACGAAAAGATGACGTGAATATGATGTCCACGATCGAAGATGTAGTGTAGAGACATACGTTGTCGACGACAATGTCCCAGGACCAGAGACAGACCGCGTTCCACTGTAGCGATGGGAGGGAGAATCGTGTCAGTTGGAGTGTGGCGCGTCAGTTGATGGCTGAGTGGGGCTTGGAGGCGTACCTTTTTGACCTGGAAGCGGGGCTGCTTGATGGCGGGCGTATCGACCTCCATTGGTGCGTTTTCGGCCATCGTAATTTCCTAAAGTGGTGGCAGTCGACGACGACGGTGATTGTGATGGAGAAGAGTCGAGTGATGGTCGGCGAGGGGCCGAGAGTGCCGACTGCGAAGGTGCACAGACTCTGGCGCGGGTTGGCGCTCAGCCTTTCTTTCTCGAGGCGGCTCTGCGCTGAGGCGGGCGGCAAAGGTGGAGGGAGCGGCGCGCGTCGAAATCGGCCGGCGCTCCCGATGTGATTTTAGCAATGCGAGCGCGCGGCTCAGTCTGTGAGTCCTGGCAGTCACAGAGCTCAGGGTCCAACAAGCTCAGCTGCGTGGCTGCTGCATCGGAGAATTGCCGGCTGCTCCTTGCTCCTCGCTCCTCGCTCCTCGCTCCTTTGCTCCGTCATCACTGTCACCACTGCCACCCTCGGCGCATCCGCAAAGCATGGGAAACAGACCCGCTCGAATCGGCTGAGCCGCTGCAACACGGATCGCTGCTGAGACGGCATAGAAGGAGAAAGAGAGATGCGAACGGCTGCGCTGCACTTTGGCTGTGCTGCCGTCGCCTCGCGCCACTTCCGATCGCCATGTCATCCTCGTCGTCCACATCGTCGAAGCCGCGCTCTCCGCGCCAGGACCGGCTTCCTCAGCGTCATCCGGCTCGGATCAACACTGCTCCCGCCTCGTCGCATCGCGCACATCCACCGTCTCGGTCCGATGCGGCTCATCCGTCGCTTGCACAGCTTCGACATGCCTCGGCGTCCAAGACGTCAAGCTCTCCTCATGCCTGCCACAACTGCCATCAGATGGACACGCGCTTCTACTGCGACCCATGCCTCTGCTCCCGAATAGCTGCCCACCACAACGAGATCCGCAGGCTCTCCCTCGCCAAAGACAAGGCAAGGCAATCAGTCGAGATGCTCCTCTCCGATCGAGCCCACTCCGAAGCTGTCGATGCCGTCCCTTCATCTTCTCCAGCCGCGCAGGCCGCTCCCTCCGCCACGTCTGCGATGCCGGCCGCGCTACCGGATCCTTTCAGCATCAACGCATCCGAAGCTACAGCTCCAGATTCGCCTCACAGCACGCTGCTGCTGCAGCCACTCGTACAGCTGAGAGCACGCCGAGCAGCGCTCAGCTCGCGCGTTCAGAACATCCACCAGTGCATCGCTCACTCTCAGCAGTCCCGCCTCGAATCCCAAGAAGCTCTCCAAGAGCAGCAGGCTCGTATCGTGCTGCGCAAGCACAACCTCGCCAAGTCCTGGTCCAGTCTAGAAGGATCTTCGGCAGCTTCCTCTCCCTCCGCCTCGCAACGAGCTCGCCACGCAAACAAGTCGCGCTGGCTCACTCATCCAGCCGCCGACCACATCGATACCCCTCTCATCTTCACCGATGTCTACACCCACTACGAACGGCAGGACGAGGCTCCTTCCACAGACTCCCCCGCAGAGCCCGTCGATCTGCAGCTCGGCGCCGTCATCACCCGCTCCCGCCTTCAACTCGCTTCTCTCCAAGCAGAGGCTACTGGAACATCGACCGAACTTGCAAACGCTAGAGCCACACTCGCCCGCGACGCCTTCCGTCTCTTCTCGGTCTCTCCGCCCGAATCTATTCAGTCGCTCAAGACGGCCGTGTCCTCGACGCCTCGCTCACGTCGTGTCGACCTGTCGGAGAGTAGCTCCGTCGCACAACGCATAAGCAAGCTCTCTGAAAGGTACATGCCCGGCGCGTTTGGGCTGTCCCAACAATCGCATGGCCACGCCACCGGCACCGATCAGGCTTCCGTCGCCAGCACGAGCGCCCACGCATCCGACCCCAGACATGGCTCATCCAAGAGCACGTGGTCGATCGCCGGCCTGCCTCTTCCGCTGCCGAGCGAGGTGCGAAGGCACCCGCGTGAAGACGTCAACGGTGCCGTGACGTACGCGGTCGACCTCATCCGGCTGCTCGCCACCTACCTCGGCATTGCACTCCCCTTCTGTATCGAGCAGCACAAGGGGCGCTACTCCCTCCGACCAGATCCGCTCTGGGACGGCGGTGGTGGCTCGAGTGCAAAGACGCTCTACCTCTCGTCGCGAGCCTACGCTCATCTCACTACTACCGCTTCCACCGCGCAACGCGCCTCCAAACTCAACAATCTGGCTGAATCCACCATCGGTCTTGGCGCTTCGACGCTCTCCACCATCGAGTCGTACATTCACTTACCCTCGGGTGCCGGCTTACCGTGGGGTCTGACTGCAAATCAGACGCCCAACTCGAAAGCCGCCTCTGGCTTTCAAGAGGCAGACTCGGAAGCGCGACAAGAGGCGAGGACAGATAAAGGACGCGATTCGGCCTTACCCTCAGGTGGCAGCTCGACCGATGCTCAGTCCAAGCCCGACCAAGCGGCTCGTTCGTTTGTATCGGCGCTCGTCATGCTGTCGTACGACGTGGCCTATCTCGCCGTCAAGCAGGGCATCCAGCTCGATCTCGTCGCCGCGGCTGCCAACCCTCTGCATCTCTTGTCCATGATCATACGCCAGTCTGATCTCGGTCGTCGCGCGCACGCCAACCACATTCCTGCGTCGGGCATTGCGGACCTCAGCCTACATTCGCTTGACTATGAACAGCTCGCACAGATCCTCGAGCCGAACAACGCCGCAGCGGATGGATACAAGCGCGGAGGCTCTTCGCGTTCTGCAAAAACGGACTCGGCCTCGGTGCCTCGACCGCGTGCGCCGGCTGCACCGCACAAGATCCTCGAACAGAGCTACGTCGATGTCGGGGAGGCGGCAGCCTCGGTGCTCGGACTCAAGGATCCGTCGGTTGCCGCTCGTAAGCCGAGCGCCCGGCAGGTTTTGGCTGGACCAGCTGCGCAGACTGGTGAGGCAGAGCGAAAGACATCCAAGCCTCAGCCTGCCCCCCTTCTCACGGCCGATGACGTGCAAGGTCAAAAGAGGACAGCCTCAAAGCGCATGCTTTCCACAACAGCTCAGCCTCCTCCCTCACTCGAGTTCCTACGCCAACGAGGCCGCGACGCTTCCAGGGCCAAGGGAGACGCCGGCCCGGCCACCGCTGCCAACCCCGGCTCAGAGAGAAAAGACAGGGCATCCAAGCCATCAAGACAGGCTACGGTCCCAGAAGACGAGACCGTAAAACAAGCCAGCAGGAAGATCGGTCCTGGCGCTGTTATCTTCAACGGCGTCGAGGTGGGTGTCGGCAACATGAGTGTCGATGCAGACCGATCCGCAGCAGGGCCTAGCCGGGGACCGCGCGAAAAGCACCGCAAGCATTCGACTGAAGAAGGTTGGGATCTGGTCTGAGCGTCATCGTCTACTCATGCATCCCATAGGTAATGCTCATAGCATCTACTGTAGTCCTCAATTCGTGGCTTGCGCTGTTTTGATGTTTGAAAGTAAGGTGCTCGAGTGTGAGGTGCTCGTATGAGCAAGAACAGATGTCAGGGTCCAGCGGCGACGTTTTGGCCGCGTTCCGAAATTTGTGAATGGAGCTGCGGTTTTCTCGAAGCTCTTGAGGCCCCACACCTTGGTGCGCTGCCTCCATCACCTTCGCAGTCATCGCCTCGCTCTCGCGCTTTGGAGTGCGGTGGAGGGTGCTACGGCGTCATGTCAGACTCGGACCTGCGTCGGTGGATCAGCGACAACAGTCTGCGCTTCTTCGGCCTCTCGCAGTCTTCGATCATCGACTTTATCCAGGTGTCCGCCTCGTCAGCCGCAACGCCCTCGGACCTCTTCCAAAGTCTCACCTCGCTCGGGCTGCCATCTACCGAAGATGCGCGTGGATTTGTCCAGCAGCTCCATCAGCGCGTGCCCCGCGCCAGTCACAGTCGCAGCAGCGCAGCGCCCAAGACGGCCGCCAGTCAGGATGGCGCGAAGAGCAAGAAGCGGTACGGGCTGCTGCTCGACGACGATGGTGAAGAGGAGCTCGCGATCAAGCCCGAAAAGAAGAAGAAGAAACGGAAGGAGGTTAAAGAGCCAGCTCCAGCAGAGGCTACATCGTCAAGGCCATCTCGATCTCCCAGCCCGCGTCGTTCGCCATCGGGCGCAGGCTCCGACGACGAGTCTCGCGAGCTAGCTCGGCTCAAGGACCTGGCCGAACGCGACGAGTTCGCGCGACGCATGCGCGACAAGGACAAGAGCAGCACACGCAACATGGTCGAAGACCGCACATCTTCGCGCAACCCCGAAGCTGCAGCGCGCCGACTGTTGGCCGAAGACGACGAGGCGCGTTCAGCCGCGATGCCCAGTCTGCGCGACCGCTCCCGCCAAGAGTACCTCGCGAAGCGCGCGCAGCAGCGCATGGAGCTGCTGCGACTCGAGATCGCAGACGAAGAGCGATTCTTCCGCGGAATGAAGATGACCCGACGCGAGCAGCGCGATCTGGACTACAAGAAGGAGGTGCTGCGTCTCGCCGAGGAGCGCGCGCGCATCGACGATGCCGACGCAGGCTACGTCATGCCCGAAGACTACATCACCGAAAAGGGCAAGCTGGATACGGCAAAGAAAGAGCAGGCGCTGTACCAGCGCTACAACGATGCACGCGCCGAGCGGCTTGCGCAGTCGCACGCCACCGACGCCGAGATCTTTGAAAAGGAGCAGATCGATCGCTCGCGCTACGTGCCTGAACCAGCCAATGAAGCGGCCACAGAGCTCGTGGAGCAGTACGACTACGTGTTCGACGAGACACAAACCATCCAATTCGTCGTCGAGTCGCAGATGGCCGGCACGACGACGATGAGCGCAAAGGATAAGCTGCTGCAGCAGCAGATTGACGAGGCCGAGACGAAAGCAGCCAAGATCCAGGCGACGCGCGAGTCGCTGCCCGTGTATGCGCTGCGCCAGGAACTGCTCGACGCCATCGCCGAGTACCAGGTGCTGATCGTCGTTGGCGAGACTGGGTCGGGCAAGACGACGCAACTGCCCCAATTCCTGCACGAAGCTGGCTACACCAAGGACGGCAAGAAGGTCGGATGCACGCAGCCACGTCGTGTCGCAGCGATGAGCGTGGCGGCGCGCGTGGCCGAGGAGATGGGCGTCCGCCTCGGCAGAGAGTGCGGCTACAGCATCCGTTTTGAGGACTGCACGTCCGATGATACGGTGATCAAGTACATGACCGACGGTATGCTGCTGCGAGAGTTTCTCACCGAGCCCGACCTCAGCTCGTACTCTGCACTCATCATCGACGAGGCGCACGAGCGCACGCTTAGCACTGACGTGCTCTTTGGGCTCGTGAAGGATATCGCGCGGTTTAGGCCGGATCTGAAGCTGCTCATTTCGAGTGCCACGCTCGACGCCGAAAAGTTCAGCGAGTTCTTCGACGATGCACCCATCTTCAACGTGCCCGGTCGACGATATCCCGTGGATATCCACTACACGCCGCAGCCCGAGGCGAACTACCTGCACGCCGCCATCACGACCGTGTTCCAGATCCACACCACCCAACCGCGCGGAGACATTCTGGTCTTCCTCACTGGTCAGGACGAGATCGATGCGGCCATGGAGAATCTGCAGGAGACGAGTCGGGCGCTGGGCAACAAGATCGCCGAGCTCATCGTGTGTCCGATCTACGCGAATCTGCCGAGCGAGATGCAGGCCAAGATCTTTGAGCCGACGCCCGAGGGTGCACGCAAGGTGGTGCTCGCCACCAACATCGCCGAGACCTCGATCACGATCGATGGCGTCGTGTTTGTCATCGACCCGGGCTTTGTCAAGCAGAACTCGTACAACCCGCGCACGGGAATGTCGTCGCTGACGGTGGTGGCGTGTTCGCGCGCGTCTGCAAACCAGCGTGCGGGCCGCGCTGGCCGCGTCGGGCCAGGCAAGTGCTTCAGGCTGTTTACAAAGTGGGCGTTTAAGAACGAGATGGACGAAAACACAACACCGGAAATCCAACGCACCAATCTGGCCAACGTGGTGCTACTGCTCAAGTCGCTGGGGATCAATGATCTGCTCAACTTTGACTTTCTCGATCCGCCGCCGACTGACACGCTCATGCGGTCGTTTGAGCTGCTGTACGCGCTGGGTGCGCTCAACGACAAGGGCGAGCTGACCAAGTTGGGCCGACGTATGGCCGAGTTCCCCGTGGACCCTCAGCTGTCCAAGGCGATCCTGGCATCGGAGCAGTACAGATGCACGGAGGAGGTGCTATCGATCGTCTCGATGCTATCCGAATCCTCGGCGCTCTTCTTCCGACCGAAGGACAAAAAGATGCATGCGGACCGGGCACGTGCTGCCTTTGTCCGCACGGGCGGCGACCACTTTACGCTGCTTAACGTATGGGAGCAGTGGGTGCAGAGCAACTACGACCACGCCTTTTGCATCGACAACTTTGTGCAGCCCAAGGTGCTTGCGCGCGTGCGCGATGTGCGCGACCAGCTCGCCCAACTCTGCGAGCGCGTTGAACTTCAGCCCGAGGCCAATGCCGATCCTGCCGACATTTCGGGGATTCAGAGGGCCATATTGGCGGGCTACTTTATGAACACGGCGCGATTGCAAAAGGGCGGCGAGACGTACCGCGCCATCAAGCAGAATACGTCGATCTGGGTGCATCCGTCCAGCTGCCTGTACAAGCAGATCCCCCAACCCGGGTTTCTGTGCTACTTTGAGCTGGTGGAGACCAGCAAGAATTTCATGCGCCAGGTGATGCAGATCAAGCCCGAGTGGCTGCTCGAGGTCGCCAAGCACTACTTTACCAAGGACGACGTGCAGGACTCGGCCAAGACGAGCCACTACAAGGGCAAGACTGCCAGCGGCGCGGCGCTCACCCGTACATGATCCGCCAGCGCACAATGCAAATCCACACGAGTGCACGAATAAGACATTGCGCAAACGAACAATGACAAGTTGAGCCTGGTGTGGCCGAGGCAGGTTTAGAGCACCTCATGAAGGCCAAAGTTTTCCTTGCAGGCGGCACGGATGGTGTCGTTGGCCTCGTCCGCGCTGACGTTCTGGCCGCTCTCGCAGGTGAAGAGTTTGCCGCGCGCATCGCCACGTTCGACGCTCGAGTCTTGGCCCGGCTCCTTGCAGGCCATTTTGGCGCTGGCTACGAGTGCCGACGAGACCACTTGGGCGGCGTGGTGCGCACGCGGCTGCGCGAGCTGGCAGCTCGCTGTGCGGCCGTCGTTGAGCTTGAGCAGCACCGCCGCGTGGTGCTGCGCGACGTGCGCGTCAGCCGGCAGCGGCGAGCCAAAAGTGTGGCCAGTGAAGGCCAGGATTAGGGCGAGAAAGGGAAGTGTGAACTTCATTATTCTGAGGACAGTGCGGAGATCAGCACCAAGACCGCAAGGCGAGGTGGGGGAAGGCGAAACACTCACGTTGCAGCGAGGGATAGGTTCTGTGAAGGCCAGCTTCGTCAGTGGCGGCAGACGCAAGACTGGAGGCGCGAGGGGTCTTATAACCTTTTCGTACTGCCTGCCGGCGGTGAAGGGGGAGCGAGCTCGCATTCATAGCGCCTGCAACGCCAACATCACATTCGCAACGGCTTCATCACGGCCGGGCCGACATTCATGAACTCGAGGTCCCACACTCTCACGCCCTGAAACGCCACCCAACCATCCGTCGGCGGTGCTGCCGTGCGGACGTCCGAATGAGCGGTCCCACCAAAGTGCATCCGGAGCAACGCTCGTCGGCACTTTCGGCACCCGCCCGACGACACTTGCTGTCAAATTCGCCCCACCGTTCACAGTCGCAGTGGCGTCGGTTCATCCGGCACCGCTTTCACATCCCTCACAACCTTGCACAGCGACAGGTCCGTCTCCGAGCACATCTTTTTCTTGATTGCGAGTGTTGTCACCCGCCACTTTCTTCCCACGCCGGCATTTCATCGCAACGGAGGGTTCTTGCGGGATTTTAGCGTTTGCGCACCTGCACGCGCGGGTCACCCTTGGCGGCTCTGGCCTGGAGCTTCTGCTGACGCTTCGACACTGCCTCCTGCTGCTGCGGCGCACCTTCGGGCTGCGCATTCGAGCCACGCGCCAGTCCCTGCAGCGAAGCAAACGGACTCTGCCCGCGGAACAGGTAGGGCAGCAGGATCTTTTGATAGATCACGTACCCCGCATATCCCGGAATCTTGACCACAATACAAACTCCATCAGTATATCGTCCCTGCAAGCTCGAACGAAGAAGTGTCACTTACGATGAGGTAGAGATACCAGAACTTTGACCAGAGGAGCGAAGCCAGTTGGACGAACCACGTTACGTAGATAATGTCGAACATGTACTGCGTCAGGCCGCTCTGTTGCAGATCGTTTCCCTGCGCAGCCATGCTCTGCAGCGTGAACCACAGTGCCACGGCGATGGCTTCCGATACAGCGTAGCCGAACACGGTGCTCTTGGTTACGCTCGATCGCAGCAGCCAAAATCGCACCAGCAGGTACACCGTGTTGGTCGCCAGGAAGCCATTGCGCAGCAGCGTCAGCAGGAACGCATTGCCCGATGCAGTCTTTTTTGCGCTCCCTCGTGCCTGCAATACTTCCTCGTCAGCTATCCTAATTCTTGAAATAGTCCCAGTGCGACAAGGAGACTCACCATGATGATCGATCTTGTGCTTTGGATGGTGGCCGTAAAGCAGAGCTTCGAGTCGCGTGGGGGCTGCAGCTTTCGCAAAATCGCCCGCCCAAACCCCACGTTGACTGGGTGGAGATTCCACCCGGACGTGTCCCGACTTCCGCATTTGCCAGCAGCAAGACTGCCAGGCACACCGCACTTTTGCATGCTCACTGCGCTACTTCAATGCAATGCAGTCATCAAGTCGTCTCAGTCACTTGTATCGATCTGGGATGCTGCTGGAATGATGCGATTCAAGAAAATATATGGTCCATAGATGCGAGCGAGGAAGGAGAATAAAGAGGGACGGACAAGGAACAGCCACGGCGCCAGAGAATCGGGTCGGTGCCGTGAGCATAGTGCTATGGCAAGCCGCATACACACGATGCAGTAGCTAGTTGCAAAACTGCGGACGAACGTGTCGACTGGGTCGAAAGCGACTTCTCTTCATCCGCTACACGGAAGCGGGCTCTACCACACTGCCTCGTGCCAACTGCTTGGATCGACGTGACTGCTGCCTCAGAGCAGAACCCAGACACCGACACCCAGCGCGAGCATGCTTGCCGAGATGGCCGCGGCGGACGAACGGAGGACCTGAGCAGCGCTGACAATGTGACTGTCATCGGGACCGGCAGCGCCGCTACCACTTGCGCCAGATCCACCGCCGGGGGCCGGTGCCGCCGCGGTGCCTGCAAGGTATCCAGTGGTGGGGACGGTGGCGATGGGGAAAGTGGTGGGGGTTGTGCTGGTGGAAGTCATGTTGGAGGTGGAGTTGGAGGATGCCGTCATGTTTCCGCTCATCGTGACGTTTCCGCTCATGGATGCCGATCCTGTGGGCGCTGCCGAACCAGATCCTGATGGGCGCGCGGTTGCTGTTCGAGCATCAAAGGGAGGTTCTAGGTCAGTGTGGCTTTCATGACTTGACCATGCAGGCATCGCTACTCACCACTACCACTTGCTTGAGCATTTGTGGACGCTGGTGCCTGTGTCGACGAAGCGGGGTTTTGCGCCGAGACGGCTGCGCACAACGCGAGCACGACGAGTGCAAGGCTGTACAAGCCCAATGAACGCTGGGACCTCATGCTGACGATGGATTGCTGAGCGGAGTGTGGCGTCTGTGAAGTGTGTGGATGGCGATGATGATGGCGATGGTGATGATGAGTGGGCAAAAACTCAGGGTTCAGTCGAGGATGGTGCGTCGATGTGCTGCATCGGCGGAACTCCGCTCCTCTTGCCAGGCTCTTCGAGGGGTCGGGCGCGCCGCCAGCGTGGCTGATGAAGTTTTGGCTTCTCCTTGAAATCGCCTTGAGCGCGCGCCTTCGATGCGAGACCAACAATCGCGCCTGCTCGCTTTCATTTTTTATATCCGCTTTGTCACACAATAGCAGCCTAACATTCTTAGAGGATGTTTTTCGGCATCCATTGGTCGAGCAATTCCAGCGCGGTGATTCGCCGATGCCTTTTGACTGCAGCTGCAGTTGCTGGTTGGAAGCGAGCGCGATGTGATAAACTCGACCCGATAAAAATGTGGCCCCGCCAAAAAGCGTGCATGGGCGCCGGCAGGAGAGCAGCAGCAGAGACCAGTGACTCGGAAGCTCCGCTTGCTCTGGCACTCGAGAAGAAAGCTGCATTTCGCACTCACACGCCCTTTCTTCCCACCAGCACGCTCGCTCCACATCTACACAATCATGCTGCGATCCACCGCCGCTTTCAGGCCATCGGCAGGCCCGCTCCTGCGCAATGCCGCCCTGTCGCTCCGTCGCAACCTCTCCTCCTCGGCCGCCCTCCGAGCCGAGCGTGCCGCCCCGGGTGCTCTCAACAAGTACTCGAGGATCATCACCAAGCCCAAGGACCAGGGCGCCTCCCAGGCCATGCTCTACGCCACCGAAGGCATCGAGAACGACGAGGACCTCACCCGAGCCATGGTCGGTATCGGCTCCATCTGGTACGAGGGCAACCCGTGCAACGCCCACCTGCTCGCCATCAGCCAGCGCGTCAAAAAGTCGGTCCAGGAGGCAGGCCTCACCGGCTACCAGTTCGGCGCCGTCGGTGTCTCGGACGGCATCTCCATGGGAACCGACGCCATGTCGTACTCGCTGCCCTCACGTGACCTCATTGCCGACTCGGTCGAGTCCGCCTGCGGTGGCCACTGGCTCGACGGCGCCGTCGTCATCCCCGGCTGTGACAAGAACATGCCTGGCGTGCTCATGGCGCTCGGCCGTCTCAACCGTCCCGGTATCATGCTGTACGGAGGCACCATCCGTCCCGGTGGTTGTGCCAGCGTAAGCGGTACCCTCGACATCGTCTCCGCCTTCCAGTCCTACGGCCAGTACCTCGCCAACGGCGGCACGCCCGACGCCGAGAAGATCCGCTACGACACGGTGCGCAACGCCTGCCCCGGCCCGGGCGCCTGCGGTGGCATGTACACCGCCAACACCATGGCCTCGTGTGCCGAGGCGCTCGGCATGACGCTTCCCGGCAGCTCGTCCTTCCCCGCCGAGTATCCCGAGAAGATCGCCGAGGCCGAGTCGATGGGTGCCGCCATGCGCCTCATCCTCGAGCAGGACATCAAGCCGCGCGACATCATGACGCGCGGCGCATTCGAGGACGCCATCGCGCTCACCATGGTGCTCGGCGGCTCCACCAACGCCGTGCTCCACCTCATCGCCGTCGCGCACTCGGTGGGCATCAAGCTCGACATTGACGAGTTCCAGCGCATCGCCGACGCCACGCCCTTCCTCGCTAACCTCAAGCCCTCGGGCGCGTACGTCATGGAGGACGTGCACTCCAAGCTCGGCGGCATCCCCACCGTCATCCAGTACTGCATCGAGAACAAGCTGATGAAGGGCGAGCACATGACCGTCACCGGCCGTACGCTCGCCGAGAATGTCGACCGCTGGACGCACGCGCGCGGCAAGCTGCCCGCTGGCCAGGACGTGCTTCGTCCTGTGGACAAGCCGCTCAAGTCTACGGGTCACATTCGCATTCTCAAGGGCAACCTGGCGCCCGGAGGAGCCGTGGCCAAGATCACGGGCAAGGAGGGTCTGAGCTTCACGGGCAAGGCGCGCGTCTTCGACACCGAGGATGCCATGGTCGCTGCCGTCGAGCAGGGCGAGATCAAGAAGGGCGAAAAGACGGTGATCGTGCTGCGCTACAAGGGACCCAAGGGCGGTCCGGGCATGCCCGAGATGCTCAAGCCCACCAGTCTCATCATGGGCGCCGGTCTGGGCCAGGACGTCGCCTGCTTGACGGATGGCAGGTTCTCTGGTGGCAGCCACGGCTTTGTGATTGGTCATGTGGTGCCCGAGGCGCAGGTGGGTGGACCTATCGGTCTGGTGCACGACGGCGACGTGATCAGCATCGACGCAGAGACCAACACGCTCGAGCTTGTCGGCGTCTCGGAAGCCGAGCTGGAAAAGCGCCGCGCTGCCTGGAAGCCGCTGCCGCTCAAGCCCAAGTCGGGCCACCTGCTCAAGTTTGTGCGCAACGTCGCCGACGCCTCGCACGGCTGCATCACCGATCTGTAGACGCACATTCCCCCAAAAATTAATCGACAACCATGTTTTGGCATTTGCGTGCGCATGTTGGGGTGGGCGTTTCTATTCCATTGAGACATTCAGAATCGGAAGAAGCCGCTGCGTCTTTCGCTTGCCATCCTTCTCTTGATCATATGAGCCGCACCTTGGCCCCAGACCTCTACGGGGCTTCTACCTTTCTTGAGCACCTCTTGTTCGTGCACCTTGGCCTGCGCCCTCGAGAAGAGCGCCACATTCTGAAAGCTGATGGGCAGCGTCGAATCCCATCTCTCCAGCTGTGCACCCGACAAGCTGTCGTAGGGGGGTACGACGCTTCTGCCTCTAAACACCTCTTCGAAGAGGTACGCCACATCATTGACGCTGAACGGGATATAGTGTCTGGGTCCCTCGTCTTTGCTCCTAACCTCTGACCCGGGAACGGGGTGTCGGGACTCGGATACCGATAGATCGTGGAACATTTTCTCGTACAGCTTCCTCCTGCCCTTGAACGCCAGAGGCTCCATCTTCTGCCCGCCAATCTCGCAGATAATAAACGTCGCCACTGCCAATCCAAACATGGCCGGCAGTGGACCAAGCACGGGCAGGATGCGAACACGGAAGTCCTCGAGCGCAGCAAGCTCGTCCACATTGCCTCGATCGAACTCGTCGTCGTCCAGCGGCAGCAAGCGCGTGTCCGACTTTTCGGTCGAGTAGACGCACGGGATGAAGAATCCCGGCTCCACCAACGGCTCCTCCTCTGCACCTTTAAGCGAGGGCTTGAACGATGCCGACCTCGAAAGCGCCGGCGATGAAGACGAGGGCGATGGCGAAAGCTCCTCCACCTCCGACACTCGACGACGCAGCTTCTCACTCAGCTGCGTGCGCGGAGCTGTATGCGCTGCCAGATCCACTGCCGTTGCATCCGATGCAGCCGCACTGCTCTGCGACGCCCTTCGATCCAGACCGTGCGCTGTAGCCGACAACCCCCCGTCATCTTGCTCATCCAACGGCCGCAGACTGGTATCGCCTTCATCGGGCAGGAGGGCCGCCATCTCGTCCGACGGCGTCGTCATGGGCGTAGCATATGCACCCGAGCCGAACGACGACACGCTGCTCGCGCGACGGCTGTGTCGTGGCGCCTGCGGCAGTGCGCCCGAAACCGCCCTGGAGCTCGCTGCAGAAGCAGACGGCACGCTGGCTCCGTTGAGGGCAGTAAGATCTGTGGCACTTCCACTCCGCGACGCCAGCGGCGAGGGAGACGACGTGACGTGGCGCGGGTGTCGCGCCTGCAGCCCAAACCCACTTGCGCTGGGACTCGGTGGTACCTTGGGCGAAGATGCGCCGCTACTGCCGTTGCTCGCCGTTCGTCGGACGAGCTCGTCGCTCGCGCTGGGCTTCATGGGTGTGCGGTCGAGATCCGCCGCCGCTGGCGCATCGAGCTTGGCCTTGTTGGCGCCCTTTTTCTTGTGGTTGTGGTTGTGCGGTCGAGCAGGCTGGCCGTGCGCCTTTTCGAGCTGTTCCGCCTCGCGCTTTGCCCTGTCCTCGACCTCCTTGGGCGGGATGGGTGGCAGACCGAGCGCCCTCAGACGGCGACGCACGCTGCGCGCGAGCGGATCCTCCGAGGTGACGCTGATGTCCGAGATCTGGATGCGACTCGGGTCGCTCTTGGCACCGGCGCCCATGGAGCTGATCACCTTGATCTTGCGTTCGGCGCAGAAGCGCAGTAGCTCCACCTTGGTGTCGATGTTGTCGATGGCATCTACGACGTAGGTCGGATTGCCACCGAGCAGCCTCTCTGCCTCGTCGCCGCGGAAGAGCTCCACCCACGCCTCGAGCTTGGCCCAGGGAGCGATCTGTGCGAACTTTTCGGCGCAGCACACCACCTTGGGTCTGCCGACGTCCTCGAGCGTAGCGCACGCATGGCGGTTGAGCGACGAGAGCGAGACCTGGTCAAAGTCGATGAGGCGCAGCTTGGATACGCCGGAGCGGAGGAGCATGAGGGCGGCCCAGGAACCGACGCCGCCTGCGCCGACGACGATGACAAAGGCATTGCGAATGGCGCTCATGCCTTCTTCGCCGAGGAAGCTGTAATTGCGCGAGAGCTGCTCGCGGATGAGGCTCTCGTCCCATTGTTCGACCGACGGCTGACGTTTGCGCGAAAAGGTGTCTGCACGGCCTATGGTTTCTGCGCGCGAGGGCGCCGCGGGCGACTGGGGCATGGTGGGCGAGTGGAAGCTGGTGGAGTTGCGCAGGTTGGAAGCGGGGCGGAGCGAGTTGCTCTGAAGGCCCGAGAGGTAGCGCGGCGTGCCGCCGTCGGTGGAGGAGGAAGCCTCATCGCGTTGGTGGAGGTCGAAGCGCTGAAGACGATCGGTGGCCTGGGCGTTGGCGGACTTGGCGACGGTGTCCGAGAGATCCTGGCGCTTCTTGCGGCGAGTGACGCGCTGTGTGCCAAAGATGGCTGCCGCCGTAGCGAGCGACGAGCCGAGAGCAACCGAGGTGAGGATGAGGGCGTTCCTACCGCTGGGCGTCGAGAGCGACGAGAGCCATGACTGCGACGAAGACGAGTCGGACATCGGTGTCGAGGCGGAGAGCTAGCAAGCAAGCGCTGAGCTACGCTGCTGTCAGCTGTGAGGTGGTACCGTTGCGGCGCTGTAGGAAGGATGAGGATGTGGATGAGGATGTGATGGTACGAGCGGAAGAGAAAGGCATGATGGTCCGCATGGATCGCGTGGCATTTTGGCATTTAGGCATTTTCGCTTCCGCCAAAAAATCTGCAAAAATGCTCCACTTTCGCAAGCCAGCGTCACCGACTTCCCCCTTTCTTTCCTGTTTTCTTTTTAGTTCTCAGCCTGAAAAATTTCCTACTTTAATGTGGGCCAAAAAACTGCCCGCAACCCGGTTTGAACGAGTGACCTTCAGTTGTGAGTAGCGGCGCGCGACCTGCTGTTCAGCGTCTTGATACAAGACTGATGCTCTACCACTAAGCTATACGGGCTTTCTAGGCACGTGCGTGCGGTATTGCATATATATTCTGTTCAAGTTCTGACACGAATTCATACAATCGATGTCGCTCTATGGGCTCGATCTGTGCGGCTGATTCGTGCTCGCAAGTGGGAGGGCTATGTGTTTGTGGATTGGTGGATTCTGCGCCTCACGCATGACTGATGGCAGTCGACGGGAGCGGCCTTGGTCGCTCGGCAGGCCAAGGAGCGCAAGAAGATCATATGACCTGCTGAGGCTCAACGGAGGCACTCGGGGCTAGCACATCGCTGCGCCGGCAAGGAAAGCGCGTCGAAGGCCGGCCATCTAGCCGGGACTGAGGCGCAAAGCCAACGGGGAATTCTGGCTTAATTTCGCACGCGACATCCGCCTTTTCGCCTCCACAGCAGAGCTGCGTAAAGGGTCCGTGCCATCCTTCCCCGCACGCCCACTCCATATATACTCTCCCCCCACGCTCGCTGGCTCTGCACTCGTACCCGCTCGTCTTGGCATCAACATCAACTCGAACACCGCTACCGGAGCATTGCGCCATGTCTGCACCTACTACCATGAAGGCGGTCGTCATCCAGGGCCCCGAAAAGGTCGCCGTCGTCGAACGACCCATCCCCACGCCCGGTCCGGGCGAAGTGGTGGTCAAGGTCAGCCTCGCCGCGCTGTGCGGTTCGGACCTGCACATCTACCGCGGCCACCAGCCCGTGCCGCACTACGACTTTGTGCTGGGCCACGAATTCGTCGGCTCGGTCCACACCATCGGCGAGGGAATCAAGAACTGGAAGCAGGGCGACAAGGTGGTGTCGCCCTTCACCGTGTCGTGTGGCGACTGCTTCTTCTGCAACCGCGGCCAGACCGGAAGATGCACCCAGTCGCGCGTGTTTGGCAGTGTGCCCCTCGACGGTGCGCAGGCAGAGTACGTCCTCGTGCCGCTCGCCGATACAACCCTCTACCCGATCCCCGCCGACGTGCCCGACGAAATCATGCTGCTCACCGCCGACATCTTCCCCACGGGCTACTTTGTCGCCAACAACGCCTACACCATGCTCAACGATGCCGAGCGCAAGGACTCGGTGGCGGTCGTCATCGGCTGTGGCCCCGTCGGCCTTTGTGCCGTCACGGCAGCTTGCTCGTTCTTCAAGACGGTCTATGCCATCGACAGCGTGCCCGAGCGTCTGGCCGAAGCCAAAAAGCACGGCGCCATCCCGCTCCACCTCACCGACGACGACTGCGTCCAGGTGCTCAAGGACGCCACCGAGGGCCGTGGAGCCGATGTGGCGCTCGAGGTCGTCGGAGCAGAGGATGCGCTCAAGCTCGCCGTCAAGATCGTGCGCAACTTTGGCGTGGTGTCGTCGTGCGGCATCCACACGCACGCCGTCACGCTCGAGGGGCTCGATCTGTACAACAAGAATCTGCGCTTCCAGTTCGGCCGCTGCCCCGTGCGCGCCGTCTTTGACCCGGCCGTCAAACTGCTCGCCAAACACCACGACCTGTTCGGCAGCTTCATCCAGCACACCCGACCCATCGAAGACGCACCCGAGTACTACAAGCTCTTCAACGACCGAAAGGTGCTCAAGACCGTCTTCAAAATGCAGCACTAACGTCGCCAATTTCATCAGGGAATGTACAGCCGGCTGAAGGCTTGGACGGGTGTGCGGCATGTGGGGCAGAGGTGCGTGTGTGGTTGGCCGCGTGAGCGCGCAGGCGGTTGCGAGGCGAGATGCTCGCGACAGTCCATGCACAGTGCGAGACAGCGACACGGCCAGCAGATCACGTTGCGTTCTTCCGTGCAGCACACGACGCACAGTCGGCGTGCATCGTCCCTTGCCACCGGCCCTCCCGAGCGTCGACGATCGGCAACCGCGGCTGATAAGGCATCGTCTTCGCCGCGTGGAAGAAGCGCCGTGTAGCGCGAGCGTGTGAGTGGCGCTGCGCTGCGCGTGAGGTGCGCAAGCAGCAGCTGGTTGAACGCCTCGCTGTCCGCAACCACCTCCGACGACGTGTGCTCGGAAATCAGGTGCGAGATCTCGTCGGCCCCTACTGAGTCCGACGACGCCGAGTGGATCGACTCGGTCTCGGCGTCCGACGCCGCAAAGTCGGTATCTTCCTCGTCCAGCTCCTCGTGCACCACTTCGGCGGGTGACACCATGGGTCGGAAGCGTTGCACCTGTCTTTGCGTCTGCTGTTGCCGAGCCTGTCGGCGCGCCTCTCCATTGGTACCGTGCCAGACGAGCCTCACGCCCCTCGCTGCACGGAACGCCCAGGCGGGCACGCGCAGCTCGACCCCCACTGCCCTCGCCACGCGCTTTGCCACAGCCATCATGATCGTTGTTACCACACGCAGCGTGGCGAGCCCAAACTGCGCCGCTGCCTGCACCCTCGCCAGCCCCGCATGGCCGAACGACCATCCGCTCTGGCGCACCGTCTCGATGCGCACCTCCTTGACCTCCCTCGCCAGTCCAGCCTCGTCGATTGCGGTGATGGCGCGCGTGGGCGGCTCGACGAGCTCAATGTTGCCGGTGCGTCCGAGTTCGAGGTAGGGCGCATGCCATACGACGAGCGGTTCCGCCTCGCGCTCCATGCCCGTGAGCCGCGTGGACTCCATGCACGCCGTGCCGAGCTTGAACAGTGCGAGCGACCAGTCTTCTTCCCACGCGGGCATGTTGGATCTTGAAAACAGCAGGCGGTGCGGTTGCACCCTGCCCTCGAGCAGCAGCATGGTGAGTGCATGCAGCCCGACGGTGAGTGCGATGATGCACACGAGTGCCAGTTCCGGCGCGCGACTGAGCACCTCGAGAAACGGATACTGTCCCGTCGTGTATTCCACCGCCACATAGTGCACCAGCGACACCACGCCAAACACGCCCGATACGACTAGCCGCGGCACGTACACGGGCCGTCGACACCGCGTGAGCGCAATCGTCCAGAGCTGGAGCAGCTGCAGCAGGATGCACAGGTAGACGTGCTCCGTCGCAGGTGCGTCGGGCGTGAACGAGTGGAAGTGCAGCAAAAACGCAAAGCCCACCAGGTTGAACGCGCCCGGTTCGTCGCGGTCCGCATCGAGGCTGCGGATGAGCGCATCGCTGACCACCGCCACACACGTCGAAGTGAAGGCGGCCCACATGGCGGTAGCGTCTCGCGCACGCAGCAGCGCATCGCGACTGCTGCTTCCGAACCTCTCTCCCGCCCAGCCACCCACCGGCTTGTGCGCCAGCCACGTATCCCTCCACCCTAGCGTCGTTGTCTTGCGCAGCGCCGCGTAGAGCGGGTTGGTCGGCGCCACGAACGCATCCACCACCACCGTTGCAAAAATCAGCACCGCGCGCGCAAGCAGCACAAGCCCCGGCAATCGTAGCGCCACCCTCTGGAGCTGCGAAAGTCGTGTACGTGCGCCTCCACGCGGCCGACAAATGTGCTGAATCCTATTGTTGACGATCGCCACTGCCACCAGCGCGATCGTATACCGACTCGTAACAAAGCTCCACGGGCTGTCCGAGAAGCTATCCCAAGCCTCCACTTCGTCGTCGTACGTCGGTGGTGGGGGCGGTATTGAACTTGCTCTGCGTCCGACGGCGGCTGCATCGCGAGTGTCATCGAGCAGGTCGAGCGGCGGAAAGAGAAAGTCGTACGTGGTTCGGAGCGGCGGTGCTGCGATGGACGCAAACCACTCGGTGCCCGAGTAGACCGTGTCGACGAGCGAACGAGGCATGCTGCCCACGTGGTCCCCCCGGCCCAGTACGCTTCGCTCGTGCTGAGATGGAGCGAAGGGTGGATTGAGAGCGTGTGATGTTGGAGGCAGAGAGGACCAAGCTGAGCAACAAAGGGCCGCCAAAAGTCGAAACGAGAGGGCCCCGGCACAAATGCTCCGAATTCCGAAGTTGCCGGGGTCGACGTGGAGGTGCATCGCCGGTTACCACCCGCTTCCGCAATCCCCCTACTCGCTGCGCCCTGCGCCCTGCACACTGTTGACCTCCGCTTCGCAAAGCGCACGCAGACGAGCTTGTCGGTTGCATCGATTACTTGCGCCAAATCTTGCTGCATATGCAATCAGAGTTGAGAGCACCGGGCACTGAAACGTAGGCCGAGAGGAAATCCAGGCGGGAAAGTAATTTCTTGGGTTTCTTTCGCTGCAGCAACCGAGCTGGCTGCCTGCAATGTCGACATGATTACGACGAGCAGCAATTTGAGAGGGTACCTTGTACTTTTCCGATGACAGCAAGACCATCGTCCTCAGCTGACGGCGTCAGGCTCAACATGTCTCACAGTCGCAGCAGCCCCCACTTTGTAGTGAAAAGAGCCTCGACAGGCAAACGCTGCTGTCGCGGACGAGAGCAGAACAGCCATGACGCCATCGAGGTCTCCGCAACATTTTACCTGGCGAACCGGAGACATCAAGAGCACGCGCACTCGCATGTAGTTGAAGCGTAAAGGGCTCAGGCAGATGCAGGCAGGTGTCAGGCCTGCAACCCACCGACCCGGTATGGGACTAATCGTATCAAACAGTGTGGATAGTGATTAAGTTGCTTGTCTCTGCGGTTAGTTTGTCTCGGGTCTGCGTCTCACGAACAGTGACCGTCGTCGTCCAGGCTGCTGACACTCGATTGCAATACGAGCCTGGTGTAAATGGGAAGCAGTCCCTGAGACCAGGGCCTCTCCCGGTCCTCAAAAAAGAGAGAGAGCTGTCTGCTGTCTATGCACCGCTCCTGGTCAAAGACGCTATCTCTTGAGATCACGCAAGCACCTGGAGGCTATCATCGAACCGAATTGGCCTGCTGCCGATCTCTTCTCGCCACTCTGACTTGCAGCAATGTGGCGAAACCCAGCTGCGTGAGAATCTGCGTCATGCATGGTCTGCAGCCTTTGCTTGAGCTTGATGCGTATCGATTCGGTACAGCCGGTTTATAAACCGATCGCCATCCTCGTCACCACCTTCGCTCCTTTCCACCACACCATCATCACCTCCAATACGGTCCTTCTCCGTTGTAGGTACACACTCGCGTTCCAGTCAGTCTCGTACGTCGTTGCTGACCCATCGCCATCGCAGTCCGCACACACTCAACCCCTTCGCTGCTCTTCGCATACATACGCAGCGTAGCCACGCCTTGCCTGACAATTATTGCACTTGATCCCATGACCACCTTCAACGCGGAGCGCTTTCTTCGTTTTATGGCGCACGTTGAGCGAAGAACAGAATCATCACGCCGAACCACATAGAAGTTGCGTTATTCTACCTCAAGCTCGACGCTCAGGGAAAGGCGTGGTATGCGGAGCGGTATGGAAGCCTCGATGTCAGCGACGAGATTGTGCCCGAGCGTCTCTGGGTGTTCCCTGACGTTCACGTGCTGATCGACGAGTACAAGGCTTGGCGTGCCACCCTCTCCACCACTGTGCCGACGCCGACCGAGATCGATCGAAAGGCCTAGTGCAGGCCAGCCTAGGCCCACAGCCATAGCCGCACTTGCTCGCCCCGCGCGTGCTTCCACCTCTTCGACGTAAGCCGACGCCTCCGCTTGCAGGCGTGCGCGCAATGACATAGCACCTTTGCTGCTTCTGTCTCGAGTTGCTTTTGTGCGGCGTGATGGTCCGAGTGACGATGACGATGGCAGCTTGAATCTCGCCATGGATGCCAGCACAGCCTCTCTGGAACTACTCACCATGTCATTGCACGAACCGTCGTCCGGGCAACTCGTTCAACCTCGACCTTGCCTGGACGCTGCGATGTCATTCGCACACCATTTGTCGATCCATTTGCACTCCGACAAAACGGTCTGGTACATCTCCGATCGCGTGCAAATGCGATGCACGGTCACGAATCAGCAGTGCATGTGAAGGTGTTTCGTACGGCGATATCACGGCTAGCTTTTGTTGCGACTCGGCAGCAACCTCCGATGCGGCCAAGGAGCAACAAGTGGGGATCCTTCGTCCACACCCCCACTTTGACAATGTCATACCTGAGCAACGCGCAATGTGTGACGACTAGACACCATGCCGTTCTGCCACACAGAAGCGACAAAGACGCTTATCTTGATCCGCACACGACCGTGCGAGCTTGGCGCACCGGCAACAGGCAACGTGCAATGCTTCACGACTCTACAGCAACGCTCAATGCGACAGACACTGCATGCACAGAAACGACAAACGTCACACCTTGGCAAGAAGCAGTGTGAGGGGACCGTGTGCAGATCATCGAAGCAGCAATGTACGCGGAGGTCGGCCGTCTCACTCGTCTGCAACAACAAGGCTCGCAAATATGACGACAGTCACGCCCAATGCGGCACACCACCGAGCAATAGCCACATTTGGATCCGCACACACTTACGCTGTGTCACGCCTCGGCAACGGGCAAAGAGCAAAGAGGAAAAGCGAATGAGGGGACATGGATTGTTGTTGACCGTGTGCAAATCGTACGTACGAAGCAGAGCGGCGATGACGAGGCGGCGTGAACCACACACGAGGGCGAGAAAGCACGGGCGAATTTAGGTGAGGTTCCAGCATCCAACCGAGTCTAGCAAATGTAGCCACTCAGCAGCAACGCAGAAGTGACTAGTAGGCACGTCTTGATGCGCATACACTTGGGCAATGTCACACCTGGGCCAGGGGGCAATGCGTGATGACTCGACAGCACCATCCAATGCCACAACTCATGCAACGTCCGATGCAACAGGCAAGCAACAAGAGCGCACACGTTCGTACGCACACACACGGCAAACGTCACGTATTGACAATGAGCAATGGGCAATGGGTAGTTGAATGTGCAAGGTGCAAAGCGAGTGAGAGTATGCGGCCTTTTGTCGACCGTGTGCAAATGGTACATACGTAGCAGGCGCAACAATGACGAGACGAGGCGAGTGCCCACTGCGAGCGAGTCGGCGCTTTTGGATGCAGGCGAGCGTCCGACATCCGCCGAGTCGAACAAATGTCACAAACAACTCATGCAGCGACCAAAGCAACACACAACCAGCCCGTCGTCTCATCTTCATCCACACCCCCGGGGGCAATGTCACACCTGGGCAACAGGCAAGAGCAACCAATGGACACGCAAGAGCAAGGCCCAGGACGAGCGAGTGTGTGGCATGAGCACCATCGAATGCGGGCTGGCGTCCAGCATCCCACCGAGTCGATCACATGACTCAGGTGATCCAAACGCCCTAATGCACCGTACAATCATCCGGACCCACCTTGGCCATGTCACACCTCGGCAAGAGGCCAATATGCGACGACTAGACGCTAGCCCCTTGCGCGACACACAACCCACTAGTAGGCGCATCTACATCCCTACACACTTGGATAAATTCGCACCTCGGCAACGAGCAAAGAGCAATGGGGCAATGGGAATCTGACGGTGCAAGAGCAAGAGCGAGCGGATGTGCGAGTGTGCAGTCTTGTGGAACCGTGCGCAAGTGCTACACAGCCGGAGCGACTGTGACGAGGCGAGCATCCGGCAACCGACCGAGTCTACTGTAGCAGATTTTACAACTTCTGCGACGCCCGATCCGACACACAACGAACTAGTAGGTACATCGAGATCAGCGCCCAACTGGTCAACTTCGCACCTCAGCACCGGACAACGGACAATGAGCAACAAGCGATGAGCAAATGGATGTTTCAAAGTGCAAGAGGTAAAGACGAGTGAGAGTATGCGGCCGTTTGTCGACCACGTGCAAATGGTGCACAGCAGGAGCAACACAGAATGGAAGGCGAGGAGGGGGGGGGGGGGGGGTTCCACGCCAGACTGAGAGAGCATCGTCCGATCCAGCCAAGCATCCAACATCCACCGGGTCAGGCAAATGTAACAAACAACTCGTGCAACGACCCATGCGAAACACATCCAACAAGTATTCTCCTCATCCACACACACCTGGATAACGTCACATCTGGGCAAGGTCGCACCTTGGTAGGGAGCAATGAGCAATGGGTAATTGAGAGTGCAAAAGCGAGCGACTGAATGTGGGGCCCTTCGGGACCGTGTGCAAATGGTACATAGCAGGAGCAACCAAGACCGAGGCGATGAAGCGAGGAATGAAATCCATGAACCAAACAGCTGGAATAGAATCAGAGAGTGTCCGTTACGATATATAAAAAATTGTAGGCAAAGCGAGATCAACGCAGTTCGTCGTGCTGCAGCAGGGGTGCGGGGGACGAGGCGCGTGCGCTCGAGCGATTTTGCGAGTAGAGCTGCGAGCTGCGCTGCGAGTCGGAGCGCACGTCGTGGTGCGTCTGGCTCAACTGGACGCTGTGGTCATCCAGCGTCTGCAGCGGCGACGACACGGAGGTCTGCGCGAATTCGGGCTCGGCAGGGCGCCGCGCCGATGATTCGAGGAACGCCTTGCGCTCGTCCTCGGACAGCGACGCGAGGTAGGCGTTCTTGACCTGACGTGCATCGACGTAGCCGGTCGACGAGACGTCCCACGAGAGCAGGCCGGCGGCGTGCAGGTGTTGCGGGTTGGGCGGCGCCTCCTCGCCCCACTGTGGATCGACGCCGCGGCCGAGCTCGTCGTCCTGGAGCTCGTCGTCAAAGACGCCGTGCATGTGGTGGAGCTGGCGCGCCTTGGCACGCTGGGCGGGCGAGAGCACCACCTGGCTGCTGCTGTCGTCGTCCTTACCGAGCACCTCCATGGGCACGGTGAGGCCGTCGATCTTGACCACGCTGTACGGATTGCTCTGCTTCTTGGCGTGGCCCAGCGCTCCACCGGCGCCCGCTGCACCAGCACCTGCGGCAGGGCCTGCGCCCTTTTCGCCCTGATTGGCGTAGAGAGCGGCACGAGCAGCGGCGATGCGACGTCGGCGCCTGCGCAGCCTCCAGAGAGCGACGCCAAAGAGCACGGCAATGACGATGATGGCGCACACACAGCCAATGACGACCTTGATGCCTTCGGAGAGGCCCTTGGAGTTGCTCGAGCCGGAGCTAGAGTGTCCTCCGTGCAGACCGGACTGGCCGAGGCTCTGCTTCTTGATGCGCACGGCGGTGAACTGCTGGGTGGCGGCGGTCATGTTGACGAGCGGTCGGAGGCCGATGGCGGCTTGGCAAGGGCTAGTGACGGTCATGTTGGCCGCCTGAGCCTGCGTGGTGTTGAGGCCGTCGTCGCACGAAAAGACGGTGTAGGCGCTGCGCATAAAGGCGGGCGAGAGAACAAAGTCGGCGGGGAGGAAGCTCGAGTTGAGGTTGGCGCCGTTGGAGGAGCCGGAGAGCGAGCGAAGCGCCTGGAAGGAGCCGAGGCAGGAGGAGCCGTCATTGGAAGGGCCGTTGCCCGAGCCGGTCTGGAGGCTGGCGTCGAGCGGGTGGATGGGTACGCGGATGCCGCCGAGGGAGATTGTGACGTTCATCTGGAGGTCGCAGGGGACGTAGTAGCCGCCGTCGGAGGCCGGACCGATGCCCCAGGCGCCGTAGAGGGCGTTGAGAGTGCCTTCGGGCCCGAGGTTGATGCTGGCGGCCGAGTCAAAGACGGCGATGGGGTTGGAGCCGGAGATGACGCTGGAGGTGCCGATGGGGATGGGTTCTACGACGCCGTGCTGGAGCTGGACGCTGATTTCGGTGAGCGGGACGCGCCAGTGGCGGACGACGCCGTCTGCGTCGCCGACGGCGCTGGTGAAGTTGATGCGAGGGTCGGTGGAGCCGGCGTAGGCAGGGTCGTGGTTGCCGATGGTGAGGAGGCTGTCGCCCTTGCCGCCGTCTTCTTCGAGGCGCTGGAGGCCGATGCCCATGAATCTGCGACCGGGACGGGCGTTTGTCCAGAAGCCTGCGAGGACGGCGCCGGTCTCGGGTGGGCGAACGCCGACGTTGAGGAAGGCGGTGTTGCTGGTGGCGTTGAGGTCGGCCTGGATGAGGCTGTTGGCGGGAGGGCCTACGCCGATGACGCCGGAAAAGTTGCCCGAGTCCATGTCCTCGTTGGATACGTCGTTGCAGGAGCCAAATGCCTGTGAGTTGACGATGAGGCGCGATGTGTCGGGGTCGCCAAAGAGCATGGAGGCGGTCTTTACCTGACCCGAGGCGGAACCGAGGAGGTAGCTGATGTTGAAGGGGGTGTCCTGGTCTACGACCGAGTCTGCACGGTCGTTGAACTTGAGGACACTGAGGCCCTGGTGACCTTTGCACGAGTCGGAATCGCAATCCTGGTTTGCGAGCCAGAGGTCGCCGCTGCCGGTGTCGAGCTGAGCGTTTATCTGCTGATTTGCGACGGCGATGGGAACGGTGTAGGTGAGCTGACCGTTTGCAAAGCCGCGGCCGAGGACGATGCGAGTGCTGTTGAGGGTGCCGGAAGCTGGGGAGCCCATGCCTCCATTTGCGATTCCGCCCGAGGAGGAGCCCGAGGATGAGGAGGATGAAGATGCGGATGCGGAAGCGGAAGCGGAAGCGGATGAAGAGGAGCCATTGTCGGATGTTGTTGTTGGGGAGGCGGAGGATGTCGAGGAAGAAGCCGACGCTTGTCGACGGTTGAGCAGCTGTTGAGCCGGCGAGTCGGCGAGCGAGCGAGGCCGCAACGACATCCACATGATGAAAGAGACCAAGGAGGCGTGGACAAGATGCGGAAGGAGCGAATGCGCGGAGCAGCGCAGTGCTATAAGACTAGCGTGCGTTTGTCGTCATGCAGAAGCCGCGGAGCCGTGGGGAGGTGTTGGACCTTGTGCGGGGTGCTTCCGAGAGGACCAAGGCTGGAGGGAGAGAAGGTGGCCGCTGAAGCAAACGCTGGTGTACGACTGGCGTGGTGGTCCCTAGGATGTGGTGGTCGGAGGAGGAGGAGGAAGTGGTGGCCGCTGCAAAGGGTTCGAGCAAAGCTGGCTGGAGCAGAGGTAGGGGCTGAGGAGGGTGGAGTGAATGTGGTTGGAGTTGGCCATCGGCGGGACGGTTAGGCTTGAAGGGATGCTGAGTGGGGCGGCGGCGGCAGCAGCAGCAGCAGCCGCTCGCAGCTCTCAACTCGAAATTCAGCGGCAGTCGGACGGAGCGCAAACTCCAAAAAAATCGAGCTCTGAGCGACTGAGGCACACAGGCACACACAGAGGGAGAGAGAGAGAGAGAGAGGCGGTCAACACCACAGTCTCTCCTGACCCACACATCCACACTGCTCCACCACCGCGAAAATTGGGCGCGTCGACTCGACTCGACTCGACTCGACTCGACTCGACTTCACTCGAAAGCTCCAGGGGCGGGAAGGCGCGCGTTGGAAGGCTCAGCTTAGCCGCTGCACGCACCCAAATGCGCTCGAAATGCAGTTGAGCTTGGACTTCCAGCAGCCCCTGGCGCCCGAACCCCCTCGGCCCCGCACCGCTCACCCCACAGTGGTCGATTCGGATCGAGCCGCGCTTGGCTTGGACAAGCTCAGAGCGGTGGTACGAGCGCTTGGCCCGAGCTAAGCTACTGCACTGTACTGGCTGTGTTCAGGCACATCATCCGACTACGCCGATGGGCTGGCGATTTGGCTACATGCAGAGCGCCTCTTTCTTTTTGTAAATTCTCATCGGACATGGCGCGACGGTTCGGATGGCGGCGCTTTTTCGCGTGCAGCAGCAGCAGCAGCAGCAGCAGCAGCAGCAGCGGCGGCGTTCAACTGGCGCGCGATCTCCAGCCGGGCGAGCGCCGAAAGAAAGCGATGGATCGGGCGTGCATCTGTAATTTATACTGCAATCGAGCGCCTGATCGGATCGATCCGCTGTTGTTGCTCGAACGCAGCGGACCAAAAATAGCGCATCGTCGGTCTCCCCTTTTGCGGTGCAATGATGTTACTGTACGGCTGGCCTCTCGAGCGCTTCGCCCATCCTCGTTCGAACGATGCTGAGCATGACCGGCCAACCTGGATGCGCCACGAGGTCGATTCGCATCGCAAAGCCTAGCATGACCGTCTGATCCACATTTGTATCGACAGCATGCTGTCCAAGAGGGCTCATCGAGGCTCCAAAGGCAGCCGTCGTGAGGGTTGTTTCGTGCAGCTTGCTGTGAAAGACGGCCGCGATCCCGGCCCAGCCGCATCACGCAGCCATTCTGATTCGACGCTGCAGCTGCGACAGCGATTTTGAATTGAACCCCTGTCGAGAGTCCGAGTGCCAGCCTGGCGGGCGAGATGAGCGGGCGGACGCATTTCAAACCTGCCATTCGAGCATTTCAAAAATGCTTTGGTGGGCGTCTGTGCGTTTCGCGCTCGCCCTCTGCCCTTGGGCCTTGAGAGCCTTGGCTGCGGAAATTTGGATTGGCAGCACGGCACAGCACAGCACAGCGCAGTTCCGTCGAAATGCATTTTGGCTGCTTTGGCTTGAATTTCAACAGGGCTTCGTCGGTCAAGCAGGCCAAGCGGGAGAGAGAGAGAGAGCATACGCGCGCGGCGCAGCAACCCAACACAGCAATCCAAATCCAACTCTCGCCCGGCACCCTTTTCCAGCACAGCACGCAGCACACCACAGCAGAGCACAGCACAGCACAGCACAGCACAGTGCAGTGCAGTACGGTGCAGTTCAGTCGCGCGCGGCACAGCGGCTCGGCAGTCTTGATTTCGCGAGTTTGTTGGCAGACAGGCAGGCGACCCGCTCCGCCTCTGCCTCTGCCTTCGGTCAAGCGCAGTCGAGTCGAGCCCTGCTGAGCCCAGCCCAGCCCCGCCCAGCCCAAGCCAGAGCTCATATCTCTCTCTGCTCCACACCTCCTTTGCCTCTTTGATCCCACACCCACTCCCGCAACCATCTTTGATCTTTGATCTTCACCTTCGCCCCTCGCCTTCGTCTTCCACCCCTCGGCTTTCCAACACACGCATCCTCGTGTTTCAGCTGCCAGTCACCGCTTCGAAGCTCTTCGGCACTCCTTCTGCGCTTGCTTTCGATCGCCTCCTCCTCCTCCTCCTCACGCGCTTGCATTCGACCATCCTCCGACCCGCCTCGTCGCTTGCTCTCGATCTTTGGCAGTCACATCTCTCGAGCGCGCCTTCATCACCTGCATCGCACAGCTGGCCCCATCTGCAAGCGATCTTCGATATCCGCATCGCATCGCCCGTGCATCACACCACCCCCTTCTCGGCTCCCTTTTTGCATTCCATCTCATAACACTCCATCGCCATGTCTGAACTTCGCCGAAAGCTCGTCATCGTCGGAGACGGTGCCTGTGGTAAGACCTGTCTCCTCATCGTCTTTTCCAAGGTAAGTTGCGCCTCGGCCCACTCCCACCACGCATATCCACGAGCTTCCATCGCATCCGCCCACATCACATGTGGATGAGCCACAAACCTCGCCTGCGATCTTCCATCGGCATCCCCTGTTCCATCCATCGTTTTCGTCCGCTAACCACGCCGTTCTCTCTCTCTCTTTCTCTTTCTCTTTTCGACCCCCACTAGGGCACCTTCCCCGAGGTGTACGTCCCCACCGTCTTCGAGAACTACGTCGCCGACGTAGAGGTCGACGGCCGCCACGTCGAGCTCGCACTCTGGGATACCGCCGGCCAGGAGGACTACGATCGTCTGCGTCCGCTCTCTTACCCGGACTCGCACGTCATCCTCATCTGCTTCGCCGTCGACTCGCCCGACTCGCTCGACAACGTGCAGGAAAAGTGGATCTCCGAAGTGCTCCACTTCTGCCAGAACCTCCCCATCATCCTCGTCGGCTGCAAAAAGGACCTCCGACACGACCCCAAGATCGTCGACGAACTCCGCAAGACCTCCCAGCGCCCCGTCTCGGCCGAAGAGGGCATGGCCGTCGCACAGAAGATCGGCGCCGTCCGATACCTCGAGTGCTCCGCCAAGACCGGCGAGGGCGTCCGCGAAGTCTTTGAACACGCAACCCGCGCAGCGCTCGTCCAAAGAAGCCGCGGCTCCAAGAGGAAAGGCTGCACCGTCCTCTAGTTTTCCTCTCCGTCCCTGCCAGCCCGTCGCGGTCGCACAGTCCTTCCCCACCGCAACGCAACGCACGCCCACACAGCCAGCCTCCGCCAGTCAGCAAGCGCCATGACAAGCACCATGATATCCATCCTCGCTCTTCCCTCCCTTTTCCCCCTCGCCCTCGCCCTCCTCCCTACCCTTCTGTTTCTTCCGCGTCCGCGTTTCGTGTTCGAGCCCGGCTGTTTTTGCTGAATCAAGATGTCTGCCATTTCCGTCTGCCTCGGCAAGGACTGTGGCGACGATCGGTGCAAGCCGAGCAACGGATCTTGAATGGAATTCCGATTGAGATTCTCCATTGCTTGTGGGTAGAACAAATGCGATCAGAGTCAGTACGAATGGAGCAGCGCCGCCGCCTTTCTGATTCCTGTAGAAGCTGGTGGAAGTGCCTCTGCTTGACCGGCCACGAGTCTTTTCAGAGTTCATTGTGTTGCCAGGGGAACCGATTGACAGTGTACAAGTTTTCCGCTTAGAAATCGCGTGCGATCGGTGCCACTGCGATCGGTGCAGCCCCGTCGACTCTTGGATGAGTGGTGGGTGCATTGGAAGCTGCGCAAGTGCCTCTACCTTGGACTTGCACGACATCATTCAGACGCGCAACCATGTGTATATGCGAATCCGATTACAAGTGTTACAGGGTCTGTGGTCGGAATGGGGCTAGAACACGACAAGTGCGATCAAGCCCAGTACGACTGGCGCAGTCCACCCAACCTTGTGCGTTGTGGGAGCACCCGAAGCTGCGCGCGTCGACGGCTGTTGCACCTGCCTAACAGTGAGCAACGCCACTCTTCCATCCTGTACTGGCTGACCTGGCAGTGCCACATCAGGATGGTTAACGCCCTCGGAGGTGGCATTCAACAGCACGCCAGCCTGTATCCACTCCACCCTCGTCTCCCACGTATACCCTCCCCAACTAGTCGTCGCATTCCTCGTCGCATTACCCACCAAATAATCCCGACCACGATTATACCCATCCAGCTGAATCTTATGACCCAAAGCTGCTGACTCTTCCATACTAACCGCCAAGAACACCGCACCACTGAAAGCGTCCGTGCCGTTTTGAAGGAACCAGCGCAAATGGTTGTCGCCCTCGATCGACTCCTTGCATGTGCCGAACGTCGTATCGCCATAGTTCCAGCGTAACACGCCATTGCCTCCACCGTAGTTGCCCTGCGAGCGTAGGCCGAATCCATCCCCCAGGTTGGCGTATTGCTGCGTACCGTTCGTGTTGCCCAAACACGACACGCCAAAGTTGATCGATCTGTCGTATCCATCCAGAAAAAGTCAGCCAAATACCGCGCCAAAAGCATAGCAGGGTTGGAAGGAAACTTACGTGGCGTATCGCAAGAATCCTTCGGGGCACAGTACAGCCGGGGAAGAGTTGGCCGAAATGATCGCATTGATCGGTTCACCCGGTGTCCCATCCAACCAAATCTGCAGCCCAAACGAAAGAAAAAGTTAGTCAAATGAAGTTGTTGGTGGGATCGGCCATATGGCACAACTCGACATGTGGGGAGGGAGACTCACGGTGAGCATGCTTCCGTTGGTGGCATTGTTGGGGTTAAAGTATCCTGCTTGCGGAAGCGGATTCATGCGCGACGTGTTGTAGCGGCGCACGCACGACTGGAAGATGTCGCTCCCGTCGGCGGTAGCAGCCTCGGCTCGCGCTGCAAGCGGCAGCGACGAGAGCGACGACGATGCCGGCGACGCAGAGGCACAAGCGACCAATGCGCTCAGCGCAAGCAGGTAAGTGCCCACACCGCGCCCAACCATGGTTACCCGCACCAGTTGTGACGGTCGATTCGTGTCTATGCCGAGAAGAGAGGCTTTCGGTTCGCCCTTCAGAGGATGCGTCGAGGCTATATCGGAGCCTCGTATAGGTCGTTTACCGCAAAGTGGTGTCTAGAGGGTTCCAGCTGCGATTTGAGGTGCGAGAGGGTTGAAAGTGGCGGTCGTGTTCTGTGATGGAGGAGCTCGACTTTTGGTCAGCGGTGCCAAGTGTTGGAGCAGCGAGCGCTATCGGCTTGGCTTCGGCACGCCCGAGCTGCAGCAAATGCCCAATGCCCAAAATCAAAGCGCGGCCGGAAGATTTGTGAGCCTCCAAAAAAGCGAACGCCTGGGCAAAGCTGAATCACCGCTTTCTCGGCATCTCGCCGGGTCTTGCAGCAAAGCAGCCTGGCTTTCGGCACGCCCCGACCTCGCGCCATCAATACAGCCCTTTCGACAGCCTAGACTGCGTATCAGCATGACCTTTTCATGACTTTCCCATCACAGCTATGGAAGGCAAGGGCAGGGCCACGAGCTCTAAACAAGACGCNGGGGGGGGGAGCGTGCTTACTGGCTCGACTGCACGCTGAGATCATGCTCTGAATTTCGTGCAGCGGGCACTCCACTTTCCCACCCGCGCGTGCCAAGACGGGCCCTGCTCGCCGAACGCCTCATCAGCACCGGAGAGCCAAGTCCGGCCGTTGAACGTGGGCGAGCCTTGAGCAATGTGCGATCGCAGCGACGAACACATTTCTCAAAAGCTGGGCGCTGGAGGTCCGATTCCGATGCTACCGTCGCTGGTGCTTCTGGGTCACCGTGGGCATGTGCTGCTAACACCGAGACATTCGGAGTTGCACGATGACTGGCCCCAATGTCACGTCAAGAGAGCAAGCGCAAGAAGCCATCAAAAGGGCCACAGACCAGGTGCAAAAGCGCAAAACTTGACCGAGACAGCACACATACACGCTCGCTCGCTGTGCACAAAACTCCGCTCTCCTCCGCAGTCCCACATGCGGGCACGCCTCGACATGGCCAAGCTGCAACCGCTGACCGCCGACCAACACCATCTCTTCAAGTGCATTGAAGCACTGCAGCCTCCATGCTTCGAAGCTGCATCGACAGCGCGCCGACTCGCGTGCACGGCGGACAAGATCGGCCTGCCGTGAGTGCGGAAAAATCCGCACATTTGTAAGATTCTCAACGTTGCGTGATGCGGCTCGGCGCGCACGGATCGGGTGGGGATGCGCGTTGGCAGCTCGCATTCGGGGCCAGCACGCCGCAAGCGAAGGTTGACAAGCATCCTGCATCGGGCCCGTCTGCCCAAAAAAGGCTGACACCACGCGTACGCAAAGCACACGACGTCGAATGCCCCTTGTGGCGGCTTGTTTGTGCAAAGATCCTCCGTGCCTGCGGCGGTAGCGATAGCAATGGCCGCCAATGTCGTGGGATCAGCGTGCGAGTCATGCAAAAGCCTCGGTACCACCACAGGGCGTGCAAACAAAAGCCTGCTGGGCCGTTCCGCCAGCTTGGGAGCCGAAAAGCGTCGGCGACTCGAACAGCGCATCGCGATTCGCTGCGTCCAATCGCAGGTGCTGCAAGCTCAGTTGACCGCAGTAGGCAGTGGCAAGGCCACCCAAGCTGGTTTGTTGGTTTTGCATCGGAATTGTGCCGTTTGATCGTGCAGCGCTGCTGCGTGCTGCTGCTGCCTAGCGCTGCTGCTGGGGCGGGGCGGCAGCGGCTGCACTTTGAGCCATTCCGGGCTCCGGGCGGCGGGCGGAGTGTGTAAGTTGCAGGTCGAGATCGAGACTTCTGTGGACTCTTTCGCAGCAGCAGCAGCAGCAGCTGCATCACCAGCAGCCGTTGTGTTTTTTTCGTGGATTTTTTTGGTCGGAGGCGGCGGACCCCGATGTCTGGAACAGTGCTGAGCTGCTGTCGTTGTGAGAACACGCGCGCGGGCTTGGCGCAAGCGAGCACCAGGGCAGGGTCTCTGTGGTCGCACTTTGACGTCCGGAGAGTGCGTCGAGTGCATCCGCCGCGAGTCGGCTGCGCCTCTCGATCTGGCTTTCCTCCGCCTAGCCTCGCGCGCGCATTTTCCCCTCGCATCGAGCCTCTCGTCCGCACACCCTGCCTGTCGCAAATAATGGGCTCTCACGGCCATACGGGGCCCAAAGCCGTGTCTCGGCTCCTCCGCCCTCTCTCGCATCGCCTGTGCCGCTTCTGAGGGGCCGCATCCAGCAGTAACTTACCGCTCTTTTCGCATGGCCCGCCGCACCCTGCTGCCTGTCTGTGTGCGTGAGGGTGTGTGTTTTTCGCTTCGAGATGGTTGTGCAGATGCGAGCCCGTCCGGCTGGACCGTCTGCTCAGCCCTTTCCTCGCCAGCACCCGCCCGTTTTTTCTTCGAAGAGGCACATGGTGAAGCCAGACCAAGCGATGCGGCGTGGTGAGGCGCGTCATTTGGCGGGCCAGCTGCAGTGGCCGTAGCAAGTACTGTAGCTGGGAGTGCAGGTACGGCGGGAGCGTTGGCCGACGCCGTATTGCCGTTTTCCGCTGATCCCCTGCTCGAGCCCCGACCCCGACCTCGGAGCCACTTTCCTGCGGCGTTCGGCCCTGCCCGCTGCTTTTGCCCTGCCCTGCACCTCGCCCTCGCCCTCGCCCTCGCGCTTTCCTGCTCTGCATCCTCATCGCCGTCGTCTGCTTGCGAAGCCAGTGCCTCGGTCGCGTCGATTGGCGCCACGCTCGATTGGATCTCACGCTGCTCTCTCTCTCTCTCTCTCTCGCTCTCTCTCGCCCTCTCTCCATCCAGCTTTTTCCAACAAGGTTACGGAAGCGCCACCTCGATCCCGGTCCCTTTCGTCGGCTCCATCCGCGCTTACCTGTCCATCACGTTTCCATCATCTTCTCCCTCCTCCTCCTTCGTCTCTTTGACTCCGCCTCTGGCTCGGCTGCCTCTCCCTTGTGCTCGGCTCAAGTCTGGCTAGCCTTCGGTCGGGTCACCCTTGCTCGCCACATCCCTGTCGCAGCGTCGTCTGGATTCATCACGGACCTGCTCCGACCACCGGCTCCCATCGTATCAGCGCAACAAACACGACACTCCGCGTTCACCCGTGCCCATTCACACAGCTCAAAGGAACCGCGCCACCGCCATTGCACACCATCGCTTCGCCCATCTCGGAATCCTCGCCCATCTCGTCCCTGCTCTCAGATCCAGCCACCCGCTTGTCTTCCATCGGCGCTTCTTGGAGCCGCACCGGACGCACATCCGCTCTAGGTTCGCACCACGCCCCTTCGCTTACGCACTGCCGGCTCCGATCCAAGCCGTGAAGCCGGGAGCGCGTCACCTTGACTGCGCCAACTCCACCAACTCGTTCGCTTCCCGCAATTCCTGGCCGGCTCGCCACCCGCTCGTTCAATCCACCAGATGACCCCGGCGTGCCGATGCACTTGCCCCATTACACTTGCAACCTCATCTGACAACAAGCGCATCTCGCCTCTCCCAACCTCGTAGCCGCACGCTCGTCAGCCAGCCTCTCTCTGCGATTCCACCCACCGTTGTGGCAGCAGAGCCGGGCTCCTCCACCCATTAGGCTCCGGCCAGTCCACGTCCACCTACGAGTCCTCGGTCCAAGCGCAATCAGTCTTGCTTCTCTCTCCGCACAGCAGGAAATCTTCAGCCATGACGTCCCCGCCAGAGAGGGTGGTGCTCGCCACGCCGCCGGCGGCCAATCCTTCACAGAGCAACGCAGCGTCCAACGCCACGCCCTCACACACGCGATCCCCCACCGTCAGCAAACCCTTCATCTACCCCATGAAGTCCGCCGTCAGTCTCAAACAGCCTCACCGTGAAGGTGTGGCATCCCAAGAACCCCTGCCCCCATGCTCGCCTGCATCCGTCGGCGGCGCCTCACGGCCCACGTCCGCAGACGGACCCAAGCCATCCACGGACGACATCACCCATGACGGCCGAAATCGACCAGAGGACGTCGACAAGGAAGCCGACGACGCCATGGGCCGCATGAAGGTACCCGGCAACGAGGACAAGGACCTTCGCGACCACTTAGAACAGCTCACCACCACCCGCTTCGAGTACGTCAAGACCGCAGAGGGCCACATGATCCTCACCGGTCGCGGAGGCAAGCTCGCCCGCTGCGAAGACGAGCCCATCCACATCCCCGGCGCCGTACAGTCATTTGGCTGCATGCTAGTCGTTCGCATCTCGCCCGACGGTGACATGCTGGTGCGCCAGGCATCCGAGAACTCCACCCAGATCCTTGGCCTCTCTCCGTCGTACCTCTTCAGTCTGCCCACCTTCCTCGATGTCCTCGACGAAGACCAAGCCGACCTGCTCTGGGACAACATCGATTCGCTCGACCAATCCAGCCAGGACCTCGCCGAGTCCGGTCCCACCGTCTTCCAGCTGCGCGGATACGACATGGCAAGCTACGACGAGCGCATAAAGCAAGGCGCACTGCGCAAATTGTGGTCGACATGGTGTGGTGCACACATCCCAGACCGCCGCAAAGACGGCGAAGGCGAACTCACCGTAATCCTCGAATTCGAGCTGGTCGACGATGCCCAAAATCCCATCTCCACCTTTTCGCCCCCAACAACGCCAGCCTCGGAGCACGACACAGGCGCAGGGCCTGGATTAGGACTTGCCGCCGGCTGGATTCCATCGCAACCCACCTCTGGCTCCGCCTCCGGCGCACAGTCTCCTCCGGGCAGCATCGCCACCGTACGCTCCAACGGCACCAGCAGCTCAGCCACTCTGCGTGACATCGCGCCCCGCGGCCTCGATGGGCTTGCATATACTCCATCGCCAGATGAGCTGCGCGAGTCGACGCTTGCCGTGCACAAACCGCTCAAGGCGCTCTCACGCATGCGTCGCAACGCCGAGGCCAGGCAGAACATGCGCAGCCGCCGGCCCGCCATGCTGCCCAGCACCGCAGCCGGTGATGGAGCCGGAGGCATGGTCGACATGTTTGGAATTCTCAGCCAAGTCAACGACCAGCTCGCCGCCCAAAAGGACCTGAACGAGTTCCTCAAGGTGCTCGTCGGAATCGTGCGCGACATCACCCTCTTCAGCCGTGTCATGATCTACCAGTTCGACGAGGCATGGAACGGCCAGGTCGTCTGCGAGCTCGTCGATTGGAACGACTCGCACGATCTCTACCGGGGCCTCCACTTCCCCGCCACCGACATCCCTGCCCAGGCCCGTGCGTTGTACAAGATCAACAAGGTGCGACTCCTGTACGACCGCGATCAACCAACCTCACGCATGGTCTGCCGCGATCAGGCCGATCTTGACTCTCCAGTCGACATGACACACGCCTTCATCCGTGCCATGTCGCCCATCCACATCAAGTACCTCGCCAACATGGGCGTGCGATCGTCCATGTCCGTCTCCATCACCGCCTTTGGCGAGCTGTGGGGCCTCATCTCGCTGCACAACTACGGTGCGCACGGCAAGCGTGTCTCGTTCCCCATCCGCCAGCTCTTGCGCCTCATCGGCGAGTCCGTCTCCAGCAACATCGAACGTCTAAGCTATACCCGCCGATTATCCGCTCGAAAACTCATCAATACCCTGCCGACCGACAAGAATCCGAGCGGCTACATCATCTCCAACGCCGAGGATCTCCTCACCTTATTCGATGCCGACTACGGTGTGATCGCCGTTGGAAACGAGGCCAAAATCCTCGGTCCGCTCAACGCGAGCCAGGAAGTGCTCGCGGTGACTGAGTATCTGCGACTGAAGAAGTTCCAACACCTCGTCACCTCGCAAGACGTCCGTCGCGACTTTCCAGACATGGTCCTGTCCACCGGCCTGCACGTCATCGCTGGTCTTTTGGTCGTGCCGCTGTCGGGCAGCGGTGTGGACTTTATCGCCTTCTTACGCAAGGCGCAGCTGCGTCACGTCAACTGGGCGGGCAAGCCCTTCAAGGAGGGCAAAGAAGGCGACGCGATCCTCGAGCCACGCAAGTCGTTCAAGGTCTGGTCCGAGACCGTGGAAGGAACGTGTCGCGGATGGAAGGACGAGGAGCTCGAGACGGCCTCGGTGCTCTGCCTCGTTTACGGCAAATTCATCTCGGTCTGGCGTCAGCGCGAGCAGGCGCTGCACTATAACCAGCTCAACCGCCTCTTGCTTTCCAATGCGAGCCACGAGGTGCGCACGCCGCTCAATCACATCATCAACTACCTCGAGCTTGCGCTCGACAGCAAGTTGGACGACGACACTCGTGAGAACCTCAGCAAATCGCACATGGCTTCCAAGAGCCTGCTCTTCGTGATCAACGACCTGCTCGATCTCACCAAGCAGGAGATCGGCAACGAGCTCTTGTTACAGGAACCGTTCGACCTGGCTGCCACGGTGCGCGAGGCCGTCGAGATGCACGAATGGGAGGCCAAGCGTCGCAAGATCGACTTTTCGGTCACCACCGATCCCGAGGTCTGCCTCGTCCTCGGCGACAAGAATCGCGTGCGCCAGGTCGTCACCAACACGGTGACCAACTCGGTCAAGTACACCAACGAGGGCCAGATCACCGTTTCGATGCGCAAGCGCAGCGAAGACGAACGCGATTCTGACCTGCCGCCCGGATGCGACATGGAGGTGGAGCTCATGGTCCGCGACACCGGCGAGGGCATCCCGCAGGAGAAGCTCGAGGTCATCTTCCGCGAATTCGAACAGGTCGAGTCGGTGATTGCGCTGCCTGGCCGTCAGGAGTCTCTCGAGTCGGAAGGCAGCGAAGCAGACAGTCTGGTCCGCACGGACCAGTCCGACGGTGGTCTCGGTCTGGGTCTCGCCATCGTGGCTCGTGTCGTCAAGAATCTGGGCGGCCAGCTGCGTGTGGACTCGGTGGTTGGCGAAGGCACGACTTTCACCTACTTCATCCCGTTCTGTTCCGCCGAGAGCACCACGCCGACTGAGATCCCCCCGGTTGCCATGGCCGGCAGCGGAGGCAGTGGTACAAAACGTGGTAGCGACACCATCTCGATGCGACGCTCCAACTCGATCGACAGCGGCAGTGCCAGCTCGGCAGGCAGAAGCGAGATCGATTCGTTAGTTGAAGCTATTCAGCAACCGTTTCTGCGCGATCAGAACCACATCGAAGACGTCACTCAGCAGCGGAGGGCCGCCGAGGCCCTGTCGTCCGGGCACACCGAGGGGCCTCGAAACGTCTCGGCAGCCACACGTCGACCTCCGATCCTGTCGCACCGGAGCCAGTCATTTGACAGCGGCTCGCATCCCGTCGAGGGCAGCGGTGTACCTGTCCGCTCCGTCAAGATCGACCCCCAAAGGCTCGATCAAAACGACCGGGCGGATCGTAGACCGACCAACTCCGCCTTCTTGTCGAGTGCGACGGCATCCGCACGGCCGGCCAAGGCTCCGACGAGCATTGCCGAATCCTTCAAAGCCGAGGTCGAGCAGCGTGCACGCGGCAACGTGCCGCATCTCTCCGAAGATGCGCTGCCGTCCAGTGCGAGGCATTCGTTCTCGGAAGATCCCATGGTCTCGCCTGGGACGCCAGCCAAACGTGGCTCGATCGACTCGCTCGAGCCCGCGCAGTCGCCCGGCTCCGAGGACCAGCAGAATTCGCCGCACGGAAGCGGCGAGCGAAGAGCGTCGTCCTCCTCGACCGCTGCCAAGCGGAGGATTGCGATGATGCGCGGACTGCACAAGTCTCCCGCCCAGCGTGGCGAGAAGATCGCGCCGCTGCGTGTGCTTGTGGTGGAGGACGATCCGATCAACCGCATGATCCTCAAGAAGCGACTCGGTCTCGACGGGCACACTACTCTGCTGGCGGTCAACGGCGAAGAGGGCGTGCGCCAGTTCGAGAAGGACGCCAAGGAGATCGATGTGATCCTGATGGATCTGCAGATGCCGATCTGCAACGGCCAGGAGGCGTGCATCCGCATCCGCGAGCTGGAGAAGAAGTGGGCTTCCGGTGGCGAGCAGGCGGACCGACCGGCGTCGCAGGTGCTCAACGGGCGCGTGCCCATACTTGCGGTCTCGGCGACTCTGGTGCAGTTGATGCGACAGGAGATGGTCGACATCGGCATGGACGGCTGGCTGCTCAAGCCGATCGACTTTGCGCGTCTGGGCGCGCTGCTCAAAGGACTGCTGCATCCCGAAGACCGCCTGGCCAACCATTGGAAGCAGGGCTACGTCTGGGAGAAGGGCGGCTGGCTTTCGGAGCCGGCGCAGCGCTCCGTGCCGGTGGCTGCCTCCTCGATCTCAGCCGCCGCTGCAGACGCCACGGCCGCCAAGTCGGCCTCCAACAACGGCACCGCGGCAGCAGAAGCTGAATCCAGCGAGGCCTCTACCCCGCCAAGCGCGTAGTCGGATTTCGCAGCGTCGTAGTGGCTTTGAAGCGCTGCGAAGTCGACGCAGTATACCGCATTCGCCATGAATGCCCATGCCCTCTGGAAAGGACCCGCGCCATCGTCTTCATGGATTCTCATTATCATCCCGTCTCCCTCCTCTCATTTTTTCTTATTCCTTTTTTGGATAGCTTTTCTATCGTGTCTCCCTCTCAGTTCTCTTTTTCATCTCTCTCTCTCACTCTCTCGCTCTTCTATCTTTGGGTCTTTTTGGGGTCTTCTGTGAGGGTACAATACACGCTGGTACTCTTCAGCATTGCCAACATCTTGCTTGTCTGCGCTGTGTGGATCGAGTGTGTGCGTGTATCTGCGGCGGATGTCGTTGCAGGTTGGTCCGCTTCTGTGGCGTGCGCGGCGGGTGGTGCGTCAAGGCGAGATGCATTGCGACGGACGCCAAAGCGTAGACACTGAACAGGACGGTCAAAGGTGGTGGGGGAAGGGATCACTTGCAGTTCTTGGCCTGGTCGAGGAGCGTAACCACCTCGACCTTGGTCGTAAGCGGAACAATGTACGCCTGGAAGAGACGCAGAACCTGATCCTCAGTGCCCTCTGGATACTTTTGATCCTGCCTGTAGAGCTTTGTCATGTCTTTGGCCTTTTGCTGAACTCTACCGAGCACGTTGACCTGCTGCTTTTCATCCGTGATCTCCCTTACCAGCTCCTCCTCGCTGACTGGCTCCTTCTTGAGGATGGTGCAGTATGCTTGGGGGTTACTTTCGAATTTGGCGAGGGCAATTTCGTGGCCAATGACGATTCTTGCACTAATCAGCCTAAGCAAGCTTGCCTTGAGCAACACCGTAGCTTCTGCGTCGAGAGTGGGGTCGTTTGGGAGCATGCCAAAGTTGCCGAACAAAAATCCGTCCAGATTCGAAGCGTCTTGGGGTCGTCGACCCACAGGAAAGATTCCCTTTCCCTTGACGGGTTTATCCAACACAGCGTCTTCGGGCAAAACCACCGGGAGGTTCGTCCAAACCGCAGGAGGGAATGGAGCTTGGTTGAACGACTTGCCTCCTTCCTCAAGCCAGTCGGTGATGTTGGGGTTGGGCTGGGCGAATTCGAACCATTTCGGAGCAGCTGTGAGCGACTTGAATATGAATCGGGCCCGTCCGTATTCCATATCGGTGGAAGCGCCGAGGGCGGCTCGAGAGAGGTAGGCATGGATGACGGGCGTTTCGTACCGCTGAAGCTGCAGTCGCAACTCGTCCAACCGCGCTAGAGGGTCAATCTTCGCAGTGGGAGGCTGGTCGATCGCGGCGGCATGCACCAGCACCCCAGCCGAGGCAAAAACCGAGACGAGTGAAAGAATCTTCATCCTTCGAAAGCGCGGGCGCAAGTAGAGAACGGAGTGAGAAAAGTGAGGGGTTGGCGAAAGGTCGCGCGACGATGGCAGTTTAAGTACCCTGTACCCTAAGTTTCCAGATTGGGCGTAGAGTGAGCGATGGTAGTGGGTGGGCCCAGTTGTGGGTGAAGCTCGCATCTAACTCGGACCCGTGCAGTGGGACGGTGGGTCCGCGTGGAGACACCTCATCTGGCTCGGTGGGTCGACATTCCCCTGCGATCCCTGTGCAGATGAAGTGCGTCCAGTGGGACTTGATGGGCGCTTCAGCACGTGATGAACAATGGGTCGACGACGGATCTAGTTTAGCGCGTGGTGCCTGCAAGTGTGGCTACGGATGTCGACGGGCCCCCCTTTGTCCAAGCGGCATCAGATGTCTTTCGTGAAAGCCGGCGGGGGTTGTCGGCGAAACGCGAAGGGCGCGACTCGCGGCGGGTGCGCGAATTTGGCGCCACTTTCTCGGCTGCACCACGGAAAGACGCCGGAATATGCAGATGTCAGAGGCGCGGCCCAAAAAGCGGCTGAATTTGACCTGCATAGCCGCTCATCCCCGGCCTTATCCAGTGCCTCCCGTTTGCCTGCTCACCACCATCTCGCCTGACAAACGCCTCGGACGATGCCCGTGAACGCGGTTGCCGAAAAGTGAGTCTCTCCACCCCACCTCTCATCCCTAAAAGCTAGCTACTGACAAGCGGAGCGGCGGGGTTCAGTGTACTGGGAACGATCGGGACGGTGTTCTGGGCGTTCCAGCTCGTACCGCAGATCATCAAGTCGCATCGGCGCAAGGACACCGACGGCCTCTCTGCATGGCTCCTGCTAATCTGGGTGGCCGGATCCATCCCACAGGGCACATACCTCGTGGTGCAGAACATCAACATCCCGCTCATCGTCCAGCCGCAACTCTTCTCGACGTTCGCCATCATCGCCATGGCGCAGTGCTGGCACTACTCGCACGGGATTGCGCTGCGCAAGTGCATCGCGGCAGGTGTGGTGACGGGTGCAGTAGCAGGTGGACTCGAAACGGCCTTCTACTTCCTATGTAAGCTCGGGGAGAGGAGGGGGACAAGTGCGGCAACCAAGACCATGGGCATTGTGGGGGCTGTGTTGATCGTGCTCGGACTGGTGCCCCAGTACTACGAGATCTGGAGGTACAAGGAGGTCAAGGGGATTAGTCTGTGGTTTTTGGCCATCGACTGTGCAGGTGGAGTGTTCAGTCTGCTCAGCCTCGTGTTCAAGGCCGAATTCGATGGTATTGCTGCCGCAAAGTAAGTCCCAACCGCTCCCTAGAAGGAAAGATAGATAGGCTGATCAGTTGGCTTTGGAGTGCAGTTACATTGGAATTGTCGTGCTGGAACTCGGCATCTTTGCGCTGTACTTTACGCTCAACCCCAGGGCAAAACGTCGACGCCAAGAGCTCCAATCCGAACCCACGACAGAAACCACCGCCACACAGCAGCAAGGCGACGAGGAGACACCCGAATGGTCGCGCCACACGACGCTCGAAAAGCCACCCCAACAGCAGAATCAATAGAGGAATCAAGAGTCACATTGCAATGAGAGGCATCAACCTTCGTAACCCTCCCTGATGAGCCATCGTTCGATGTCCTTGACGAGAGCCTCGTGCGACTTTTTCTCTGCATCCATGAGTGTCGCTTTGCCCTTCTTGCCCTCCTCGGGGCCACTTGCCACAACGAGCGTGTTGAGCTTGGGATGTTTGGTGAACAACTGACCTGCCTGGGCCGCGTCTGCGTCCGAAATGACCACCAGACCCGAGATCGCTGGACGCGCACTAAACGCACCGCCTCCAAAGATCTTGCTCCAAAACCCGCCTGCCGCCTGTCCCGGTTGGATGTACCTGCTAACCGCCTGTGCCGCCTCATCCTTGTCGCCCGAGTGGTGTACAAACAGCACCGGCTGACGCTGAAGATTGCTCAGCCTGATTTGGTGGTGCAGTTCATCGGCCAAATCGCCTCCCGTCTCGGGAAGGGCGAGGTTCATCTGGATGCAGTCGTATCCGGCTTCGCGGAAATATCCGATCCAGGAAAGCCACTTTTGCTGCTCGCCCGATCCACCCGCCAGACTGGACATCAAGCTCTTGACCATCCCGGTGCGGGTGGCTTGCGAAGTGACAAAGACAAGTGTAACCGTCTGCCTGCGTGGGGCGGACGGTGAGGCGGGCCGAACGAGCGTCGAGGATCCCTTGACGGGTGCCTCGGACTCGGCCGGAGAGTGGATGGAAAACGCACGCTGCTCGGGCGTGGTGCCGAGATAGAACCAGCCGCCACCAGCCACCAGCCCGCCACCGAGCGTCTTGAGCGGCCATGCGCGTCGAGCTGCAGGACCGGCAGGAGGTGTGGGACGCGTGTGCATCGACCGCACCAACCCGGCCTGGATGGGCAACGCCGGCGCGGCGCGCAGCGTACGTGCTGCAAGCTGGCCACCGCGCAACAGCGGCTGCGTGGAAAGGAGCGAGAATGACATGGCGATTCGAACCTGAAGCGAGCACGGTATTGCTGGGATGGACGCTGCGGTGGTGGTGGCAGGGACGAAGGTGAATGCCGAGCCATCCGGTGCATCTGTCGTGCATCGAAAATGACGCTGGGCGGGTGCACCGTGCATGCATCGCTGCAACCGCACACTGCTCCGGTGCCTCAGCTGGAATCCGGCTTCGAATGTGGAGTAAGCGCAAGGAATTCGACAGTAGCGAAGGCGGTCATGATAGCAACTTGGAGCTAGTGTCAACAGCGAGCTTCTTTAGCTCAGTTGGTACGAGCGTCCGACTGAAGAATTCAGTTTCACCAGTCGCCACTGCCTGCAGTGGACATACGGTATCGGGAGGTCACCTGTTCGACCCAGGTAAGGAGCATACGTTTTTTGTTGCCTTTTTTGAGGCTATTTCTCCCTAATTTTTGGGCCCAATTTGGCAGGGCGGTCGAAATCGACGCGTCGGTGCGGCGGTGGGACGGCTATCAAATTGCGTGTTTCATGCAGCGCGGATGCAGCGCGTGGACAGTGGTGTTGTGATCTTTTTGGGATTTGTTTGGCAGGTGCACTCTCTCCACATGTCATCCGCCTCATCCATCGCATCCACAATCACCACCACCACCAACTGCGCCATCGACAGGACGCGGATCAAGCCAGGCGGGCACGCTTGCGCACCCACACTCGCTCCTTGAACCATGGTGTTCATCGTAAAGATACCCGGTCGCTCGCGCGCAAACACCCCGGAGCCCGCAACCGCAACCGCAACCGCCTCCACCCCGTCCGACCAGCAGCCGTCCGCACCGCCGCTCGCGGACATCGCCATGGACACTCCGCCTCGAGCAGCTCCTCCTATGTCCATCCCTGTGCAGCCGACGCAAGATGTGACGGCTGCGTCATTAGCGTCTTCAAGCGCGCAAGTGGCAGCACAGCCATCAGCCGCGGCCTCGGTCGCTTCGGGGGCTCCTAGCGCTGCACAGCTCGACATCCTCCTCGCACCTGCCGTGCTCAATCACAGATACGTGCGCGGTGTCGACAAGAGCCTCATTGTAGAGCGTCCAGAGCGTATCCGCGCCGTCCTACTCGGCATCGCAACTGCTATCGGCAAGTCCACCACCGACGACCACCCCGCTATACCCTCGCTACCCTCCACATACCCCGCCGCCGCACCCGGCCCGGCAGTCTCGGACGATGACGATCTCGTCGCACGCCTCGGATCGCTCTCGATGCAGGCCAAACCGGACAACCCGCAGCAGCACCCACCTCCCAGATTTCGGGTCCTCCATTCGACGGCGTCGGTACCCCTCAATCCGCCCCACCCGGCAGTGGCGTACACCCATGCCCACGCAGACGAGCTCGTCGCCGTCCTCGAGTCCGCCTACGACCTCGCGAAACAGCGACGCAGAGACGCTCACACCGCTCAGGTCAAGCACGAAGCACGCGAGGACACGCCAACGCCCGCACAGCCGCAGCCAGAACAAACCACCTCCATGGCCGCACCCCAGCAGACGTCACACGCTGCCTACCTCGAGCGTCTCTGCAGCCGAGCTCCCAACCACCCGCCAGTGTCACAAGTCAAGCATCAACACTCTTCGCCCACGAAGCATCCGCCCGAAGATAGCGAGGCGTACACATCGAGCGACGGTGAAGGCGACGAGGCCATGCATGCGTCCGAAGTGCCCGAACATCTGCCCCAGGGCGACCTCTACCTCGCCGGCCCCTCGCAACCCGATTCCAGCGACGGCGGATCGGCGCAAGCCATCCAGCACGCCATGGGTGCCTGCTGTGAGGCCGTCGACCGCGTAGTTGCCGCCGCCACCGCTTCCACCACCACGACTCCGCTGCGCGAGATTCGGCACGACCAGGCACTGCCGCACACGACCTCAGACGCGCATCCAGCACCAGTACCAGCACCCGCTGCCAAGCGCGCATTTGTCCTTTCGCGTCCGCCGGGCCACCACTGCTCCGGCTCGACACCGCAGGGCTTCTGCTGGGTGAACAATGCGGTGGTCGCGTCGGCGCACGCCTACCTCACGCACGGTATCGACCGCGTCGTAGTATTCGATATTGACCTGCACCACGGCAACGGCACGCAGAATCTGGCGTGGCGCATCAACGCCGATGCGAACAAGCGCGACGACGAGCGTGCGGAGCGCATTGCCAGTCTGCGCGCAGCGGCTCTCGAGCGCGCGCGGCAGGCGCTCGGCACCGGCACGGGGCGCGCACATGCCAGCCGCGTGGCCAAAGTTGCGCTGTCCGAGCAGGACGAGGTGGAAATTAGAAAGCAGGCGGGTCCGAGGGCGATGCGGATATTCTACAGCTCGCTGCACGACATCGAGTCGTTTCCCTGCGAGGACGGCGATGCGAGCATGATCAAGGACGCAAGCACGTGTGTCGAGGGCGCACACGGACAGTGGATCTGGAACGGTAAGTCCATCACGAAGCTGCACCCACGATTAACGCAATGGTAAAAGGGCCGAAGAACAGCCGTGCCCCCAACCGGGCACGTGCGGTCTCGTGGCGAATATAACAGTCACTCGAACGCGTCCACTGTTGGTGGGCAGCGGATGAGTGACATGAGGTGCCATCTCTCGCATTGCAGCTCTCAAAAGCAACGATGCTGACACGATTCTTTTGGTGTTCGACAGTTCATTTGGACCACTACCGCAGCGAAGCCGAATTCAAGCGGCTGTACACAGACAAGTACGCGATCCTGTTCAACAAAGCCACCCGGTTCCTGCAAGCTACATCGGCCACGCCTCAGTCTACACTCGTGTTGATCTCGGCAGGTTTCGACGCGTGCGCATACGAGTATCCGGGCATGCAGCGACACGGCAAGCACGTGCCACCTTCGTTCTACCACACGTTTGCACGCGATGCGGTTCGGTTCGCCGACACTTACGCGCACGGCAAGCTGATTTCGGTCCTCGAGGGCGGTTACAGCGACCGTGCGCTGTGCTCGGCCGCCCTTGCGCACGTAACCGGTCTATCTGCCGAAGGGACAGCAGATCCCGAGGTAGAGGCGGAGTTTTGGAAGCTCGATAATCTGGTGGCGGTGGAGAAGGTGGCGAAAAAGATGGCTGCACATGCTGCAGCAGCGGGTGGGGGTGGGGTGGGGGTGAATCTCACGCCCAAGAGGAGGCAGGCGGAATTGGTGCCTTGGCTGGCACGCACCTCGCGCGCCTTTGCCGCGTTCGAACAGGCGTGTGGCAAGCTCAACGTCGTTCCGCTGACGGCTACGGGCAGGGCGAGTACGGTGCCTAGTGCGGTGAATAGTCCGGGTGTCGTGGCGGGTAGGACTCTGCGCGATCGTGGCGCACTCAAGACGCGTGGGGATGCCACGCCGCAGTCGAAAAAGAGCCCGAACAAGTCGCCCACCAAGCCTCGCGTGGCCGCCTCGCATGCAGAAGTTACGCCGGTCAAGATCGAAGGCACTGCGATGGATCTGGATACTTCGACACCAACCAAGCCCCGCGCAGCACAGGACAGTAGCCCTGCTGAGACTACCGCGACGGTGGGTGGGTTGACACCGACCAAGCCTGCGCCGATCATTACTGGGGCTGAGGGAGTGGCGCGCGCGGGCGCGGTGGACATCTCCTCGTTCCTAGCCACATCGTCGACGCCGCAATCGCCCGTGCTCTCGGCTGCGCCCGTAACGCTCGTCGACGCCCTGTCGCCCACACACATCCACGACGCCAACTCGACGCACTCGATCATCCCGCTCGACTACCTCGACCAGGACGCTCCCGGATCGCCCGATCCCACCCTAGACACCGTCGACTATTTCCCCCCACAAATTCACCCCCAACCAGACTGGACATAGACACGCAGCGTGGTAATGGCATTGCGCGCTTTTTCTACTTGTGGTTCTTCTTCATGCGACGCTTTTTCTCCGCCTTGGGCATCTTGGTCTTGCGCTTCTCGCGCGTCGCTGCCTTGGTCTGTTTCTTGGCCTCCTTCTTGGCCGCACGCGCATCTTCCTTGCTCAGCTTGGCATCCTTGGGATGCACCGCCTCGGCGCTCGAATCATCATCATCCGAATCGTCATCCGAATCCTCCTCGTCGTCATTTTCATCATCGTCGTCAGAAGAATCTTGAGAGGCGGTTGTGGGGAGGAGGTTTTCGAGCGGCGCTTTGGGTTTCTGCTGCGTGGGAGCTTTTTGCACCTGGATTTCGTGCTCCGGGTCGTCGACCTCGTGCAGCGAGAAGGGGATGTAGGTGGCTTTGAACACTTCGTCGTCCGCAGCGGTGTTTTGCGCAGGGTCGGGCAAAGCGGGTTCGAGCGAGAGCTGGTGCATCAGCTCTTCGAGTGCATGCATGAGTTCGGCTTCGCTTTCACCGGCAAGCTGCACAGGCGCAGGCGCGGGTGCACCGTGCAGACCAGTATACCACGCTCCACCACCCGTCACCCTGTTGCCCACCACCGCACCGCTCTCCGATGCAGCCTCGGCATTTCGCTTGAGCTGCGCATCGTGCGCCGCATTGGGATTGGGCTTGTCGTCGTCGAAATCAGCCTCCTGCTTCTCGAGTCCCGCGCGGCCACCTTTCCTTGCCCCAACTCCTTCCCTTGCCGCGGGCTCGCTCGTGACAAAGTCAAACGTGCGGCGCAGACCGAGCGTGTGCACGCCGCGGCGCGCAAAGTACTCGTCCACATGCGTGATATCGGCGCGGAGGAAATCGAATGCGCGCGGATGGTCGTGTTCGACCGACTGCGACACATCGATGATCCACAGATGCCGCTCGTGGTAGAGGATGTTGTACTCGCTCAAGTCGGCGTGCACGAGCCTGCACTCGTGATACATGATGCGCATGCTCGCCAGCAGCTCCCTGTACAGCCGCTGCCACGTTGCTGCGTCCGAGCCGATCATCTCGTCGGCGTCCTTAAGGCGCGGACTTGCCCAGCCGTCCGAGTCGCCGAGGAACTGCATGACCAGCACGTGGTCGCGCAGTTCGACGGGGATGGGCGCGCGCAGACCGGCGGCGACCATGCGCTTGAGGTTGCGCGCCTCCTTCTCGGCCCACAGCCGCACCATCTTGCGCGGGTTGTGCTTTGCGTAGCCGTGGCGGAAGCGGAACTCGCCGCTGACGTACCGGTCGCGGTCCTTGAACACCAGGATGCTCGTCTTGTAGATCTTGAGCGCCAGGCTGCCCTTTGCCGACGCATCATCGGCGTTGGCGGTGGTGGCGTGGTAGACGTTGGCCTCCTTGCCAGTGCTGACGCAGCCGTTGACGGACTCGAGCAGGCCACGGTTGACCATCTTGTAGAGGATGACCATGGTGCGTGGATCGAGCACGCCCTCTACGGTGGCGCGGTCCGCCTTGTCCTTGATGCGCACCACGTCGCGGCCGCCGAGCGCCTTGCGCGGCACGGTGGAGTTGACGCCACCGCCGATGGCCGACGAGGGGTCGTACATGTCGTCGACGCGCACGCGCGAGGCAAACTTGGAGAGCGACTCCATCTGTGACGCCGTCCTGGTCTGTCCCGTCGAGGGGCCTGCTGCAGCGGCTGCGCCGAGCGCCGAGGTGGTCTTTGAGGAGGATGCAGTGCTAGACGCAGCGGGTGGCGGACGACGACGACGGTTCATGGCGGGAAGCGGTGTGGCGGCTGTGGTCGTTTTTGACTGTGACGAGGAGGACGAAGACGACGAAGCTGCATTGTTGATGGCCGAGGCGAGTTGACGCGAGCGATTGAACTGCTTGGTAAAGTCGCCTCGGGCGAGCTCCCAGTCGGCATCCTCGACGGCACCATATGCGTTCATGTCGTCCTCGTCGTAGTCGTCATCCTCCCCCTCCTCCGGAACGGCATCGTAGTTTTCACTGTTTTCGTAGTCATCTTCCGAGTCTTCCGCATCGGAAGAAGCGCGCAGGATGTCAGAGATCTCGAGGCGGCGTTGCTTTTGGGAGAGCGCGGAATCCGAATCCTGCACCAGCTGCAAGTGGCGCTGCTGTTCTTGTTCGGTGTGCTGCTGCGACTCGTGATCGAGCGATCCCTGGTCGGGTGCGTCGTCGAACTGTCCCGCCTCCATTGCTGGCAGGATGCGATGAAGGTGCGGAGGTGTTGGTCGATGGTGTGCGAGAAGAGAGCAGCGAGTAGCAGCTGGTGAGGTCCCCCAACTTTTTTTCTTCCCTCAAGATTTCTGGCTTGTGGACCCTGCGGGTGGTGCGAATGCCCGAATCCCGTTGAAAATTTGGAGCTTCTTGCAAAGTGTCGAAAGATAGGCCTAACATTTGCAAAAGTCGAAAATCGAGTCCCGCACGGGGCAGCCACAGTGCAGGAGACAAATGAGCTCTCTTCCCGCTCGCGTCAAGACGGAGAGCAACACTTTCAGGGAGACGCCGCAAAAATAGAAGGCCAGACGCAGTCCCACAGTGAGTGCTACTGTGGTGCTGTGGTGCTGTGGTGCTGTGGTGCTGTGGTGCTGTGGTGCTGTGGTGCTGTGCACGAGGTGCGTGCGCAGCCCCTCTTTTCCAGCTTTGATTGCAGCTCTGAACCGCAGGCTCCACTGCCGAGCGAGGCCAAAGAAAGCAACAGGCTCGTGCTGCGCTCGGTCCCGCCGCAACGCACTGCACTGCACACTGCACTGGGTCTCTCGACTCCGACGCCAGCGCCTCTCCGCCTGCTGTGCCCTTTCTGCATTTGGCAACCCGGCGCTGTCCAAGGCTGTGCGTTTCACTTCGACCTTTGTGTGCTTTCCTCTCCACCGTCGCACCTTCAGCATCGGATCCTGTCACGCATTTCTGTCGACGACCACTTTCCCACGTCCGTGGCTATCGTTTCGGATCAGCCGGCTAGAGGTATCGCTCCGAACGCATCGGCTCACCCGAACCACCCACAGCGAGCGTCGAGACCAGCATGAGCTCGCCCTCTGCTCTCACGGTGGTGTATCCGCCTTCATTCCAGAACTCGTTCTGGTCCTATCCATCCTACCGACCGGGCGCTCAGAGCCTGTATGCCAAGCTGCAGGCAGGTCTGGACGAGAACGAGTCGATCCTCGCCTTTGTCGCCCATCGCGCAGAGCTCGAGTACAATCACGCAGAAGCGCTCGCCACGCCGCCACCAGCCCCATCCTTCCCTGCGCCTCTCTTCCGACAGGCTGCCGGCATCCTCCACGAGGTGCTGCCCATCGATAATGCTGGCGGCTCAGCTGCTCCGCGCGGCTTTGCCGCCAACTCGTCGGCCACCTCTCGCGCCTTCCGCATGATCCAGGCCGAAACCGACACGGCACACGCCAACGCGCACGGAAAAGTGGCACGTCACCTCGAAAAGTCGATCCTCGAGCCGTTCGGAAGGTGGGCCGCCGATCACCGCACGCGCGTCACCCAGAGCTGGGAGCATGTCGACGCCACCCTCGCCCGCTTCGAGCGACAGAAGAGCGAGGTGGACAAGCTCAAACACAGCTACGAGAACAAGTGCCGCGCCGCCGACGAGGCCGAGGACGATGCGCGCTTTGCTCCCATCGATGAGGCCGAGCTGCCCTCGCCGCCTCCCTCCCACGCCTCGGACTCGACGCTCCGCCCGCCAGCCGCCGCTGCCGCCCACTCCCAGCGTAGAAGCGTGTCCGGAGACAGCACCAAGTCCATCGACTCGCATACCGACGACACCAACGACCCAGACAGGCTCAAGCGCCGCGAAACGCTCCGAAAGCAGTTTGGATTCACCCAGCGCGCCACCTCGGCCACGCATTCGCCGCCTGCCCATGCCGCGCTCGACGGCGTCAAGCTGCCTCCGCTCCCCACCGAGACAGAGGGAGAGGCCATGGATGCCAGCGCTGCCAGCGCTGCCTCTCTGGCGCCTCCAGCAGCCCACGCAACGAGCCTCAAACGATCCGGCACCATCTCGGCCCTCGTCAGCTCGGCCGTCGACAAGATGCCCGCTCCGCTCAAGGCAGCTGTCGGCGGCGTCGTCTCGGCCGAACCTCGCCACGCCAGGCTCCGCCGCGACGCCGACAACGCCGAAAAGGTCTACGAGGAGGCCGTCAGAAACCTCGACCGAACGCGTTGCCAGCTCGAGGAGGTCCTCTTTGAGCACTACGGCCTCACCCAGCGCTGGGAGGCCGACCGCATCCGTGCTGTGCATTCCGTGCTCGCCTCCTACAACCATGCTGTCGCGGCCGAAATCCCCATCCTGCAGCAGTCCTCGGCTCGTTCTTTCCAGTCCTCCCAAGGCCTCGACCCCTCGCTCGAGCTGCGCGCCCTGATCAGGCAGGCGAGGACAGGCCCCTTCCGCCCGGCCATCGAGCGCTTCCAGCCCTACTACCACGACGAGACCTCGCTCGGTCGCAAGGTGGGTCCCCACGGCGTCGCGCATGCATGGCTCGTCAAGAACGGCGGCTTCGGTCTCGACCTCTCGCTCGTCGAGCGTCTCGAGTATCTCGAACGCCTCGAGCACCAGCCTTCCGCTCCCGAGAGTGACAACTCCACTCAGCTCGCCACGGTCCCGCCTGTCCTCGCTGCGCTGCTCGCCGCTTTGGACCGCGCATATGCCGACGAGGAGCGCTGGACCTTTCTCGCAAAGGCCTTTGCCGCGGCCAACGCGCCCGCGCCCGCAGACCAAAAGTCGGAAAACCAAAGCGCCGAAGACAAGGCCGCCGACGAACCGGACGCCAAGCTCATCGGCCAGGAAAAACGCAAGATCTGGATCCTCGAGGTGCCTCTGCCCATCACGCATCGTCTGCGCGATGCGCTCATTGCACACCTCAGCCCGTCTCTCGCCGATCTGATCTACGGCGGCACCAACGGCACAAAGGCAGCCGATGCCGTCGAGTCTCCGGCGAACCTCATCCCAGAGAAGCTTCTCGACTCGTACGATGCGCCCGTGCTGGC